TGTCGCAGAAAAATAAAAGAGATGAATTTCGAAATCAGAAAAAAAGCTTTATTTTGGCCAAAAGGTTCAGATAGCTTAATATAAATTCCTACATCTGAACAAAGACCTTGTTTAAGACACGTATCTTTATAGTAACAAAAACGGGAAGTATCTAAGAACTGCCTCTTTAGCTAGCCCCCCTCCCCTATTGCCTGTGGTTTGACTTCTTGAACTTTGCAACCGTAGAATTGTGAGCTAACCTGCGGTTTGACTTTTTGAACCCAGCATTTGTCTCTTATGATTACTAGTTAAAGGGGCCCTTCAGAGATCATTTAGGCTGACCCCATATTACTTCACTCTTATATTTAATTTCACTTTATGTCCTACTTTACCACGGTCACGCAATCACCTTTTGCAACCTTCTGACAAAACCAAGTCAAGTCAAGGGGGAAGCCAGATTCACTTAAGAACTGTTTTACTAACTTAACAACTGCAATGATTCACTTAACAACTGTGGCAAGGAAGATCATAAAATGGGAAAAGGCTCACGTAATGTCTCGCTTAGCAACAGAAATTTTAGGCTCAATTGTGGTTGTAAATCGACGATTACCTGTACTATGATAATGATAAACTTTACTTTTCTCTCCATCGTTGTCTGGATTCCTTTAACCACTGCTTCAACTAAATATCATGTACCACCATCCTTGATTGCAATAATAGGTTTCCTTGCAATGTATTTTAGCCAAGTATCAAAGTCACAACCTGTTACTTAACCTATAATTTATATGGAAATATTTGTGGTCAATTTATGGAGTATTTGTGGTCGACCCCTCCAGCTCTTGCTGACAAGTGTTTATAAAATCTTACTTCTATTAATTCTGGCTAAAGTGAATTCATAGCCCACAAAAGCCTCTAATTTATTACTAATGAGCTAATAAGAGACCAAATCCTCAAACTGGAAAGGTATCATAATTATTATAAGTATGACTCACACAAATTTCCACTTGTCTTACAGATCTTCTCTGACGAGAGAACCACTGAACAGACTCTTTCTCTGTTTTATTAGAGCATTTAAAAAAAAATTGATGGTAAAATTTGCATGCTACCCAGAAGCTCTTCTATGAAGTCATGGGTGGGAGATGAAAGGATAATAATCTACACCAAATTTAGCTTATTTGAACCCGTGTGCAAGTTATAAAGTCATGATTCATAAAGAAGCAATTTTGGGTGGGTTGTGATCAGGGATGGGCTTCAAAAATTTCAGCAAGGGGTTCTCTGGCCGGTTGCTGGGTGGCCGTGGCCATGGTGGGCATGGCCTAGTCAGCCTCCTGCACTACGGTGGGGGGCGTTTTTGCCCTCCCCGGGCTCTGGAGGCTTTCTTCAAGCCTCCGGGAGGGTGAAAATGGCCTCCCCAGGCTCCGGAGGCCCTCTGGAGCCTGGAAACGGGCCAGTTTCTGGTCTTCCTGAATTTCTGGTAGTCCCGTTTTTCACCCTCCCCAAGGCTCTGCACACGCCCTGCACTTACTTGCATCCAAAACAGTCTGCACGGGGACTCCTGGGAGGGGAGGGGTGGGCGGGGCCAGCCAGGAGTGGGATTTGGGGCAGAGGTGGATTTCAGCAGGTTCTGAAGAACCGGTAGCGGAAATTTTGAGTAGTTCGGAGAACCGGTAAATACCACCTCTAACTGATTCTGCCCCCATCTATTCTCTGCCTCCCGAGTCCCAGCTGATTGGGAGGCAATGGGGATTTTGCAGTAACCTTCCCCTGGAGTGGGGAGGGAATGGAGATTTTACAGTATCCTTCCCCTGCCATGCCCACCAAGCCATGCCACACCCACAGAACCAGTAGTAAAAATTTTTGGAACCCACCACTGATTTGGGGGTTCTCTGAACTGCACAGAATCTTAGCTAGAGGTTCTCCCGAACCCTCAGCAGCTCACCCCTGCTTGTGATGTCAGTTTTGAAAAAGCAACGCCACCTTTTTAAAAGTGCACAAACCATTCCTTTTTTTATACTGTGCAAAGATTCCGCAAGGATGACATAATTTATAATTGCCTGGTGCCTTTCTCTGAAATGAAGCTTCCCCTATCATTAAATCATTATAAGGCCCTTCATATGGGCTGTAATGATATAATTCTTGCAAGTGGTTTAAGAATCATTAACAAAGCTAGATGACTGATTCTGTCCCACACCCTGTGCTCCAGACTTGGGCCCTAAACCAAGTCTCACTGGGGATGTGAATCCAGTCTTAGACATCATAGACTCATAGAACAGGAAGGGACCTTGGAGGTCTTCTAGTCCAACCCTCTGCTCAAGGCAGGGATCTTATGCCATCTCAGTCAAATGACATGATAGTAGTGTTATCTCAGGGGCTGCCACAAAGAAGAGGGAATCAAGCTATTCTCCAAAGCACCTGAGGGCAGGAAAAGAAGCAATGGGTGGAAACTAATCAAGGAGAGAAGCAACCTAGAACTAAAAAGAAGAGATTTCCTGGCAGTTAGAACAATTAATCAGTGGAACAACTTGCCTCCAGAAGTTGTGAATTCTCCAACACTGGGAGTTTTTAAGAAGAGATTGGACAACTATTTGTCTGAAATGGTATAGGGCAGTGATGGTGATTCATTTAACTACTGTGACAAAAAGGTTGTAAAATGGGGCAAAACTCACTTAACAACTGTCTTGCTTAGCAATGGAAGTCTTGGGCTCAATTGGGGTCGTAAATCAAGGACTACCTGTATTCACTAGTTGCACGAAGGAATAGCTAGACTTTTTATAACACCCATGGTGGAGCAGTGGTTAGAATGCAGTATTGCAGGCAAACTCTGCCCATTGCCAGGAGTTCGATCCTGACCAGCTCAAGGTTGACTCAGCCTTCCATCCTTCCAAGGTCGGTGAAATGAGGACCCAGATTGTGGGGGACAATATGCTGACTCTATAAACCACTTAGAGCGGGCTCTAAAACAATATGAAGCAGTATGTAAGTGATATTGTTCTTATCAGAAGGCTATATACAATCCTTCTTCCCTTAAGCTCTCAACCAGAGAGAGATGCAGATATTGTATTATGTCAATGTACAATATATGTACATGTTTTTAAATGACTTCTACCGCCCCCTCTGGGGAAATTATATATATTTTATGCAAAATATATCCTGTATGTTATCTTCCATCATCAGATGACCATTTTCATTCTCCTGACAGTCTCATGAGTCCCAACAAGGACAAAACCAGTCTCGTGGTGCCTCCTGGTGGTATAGATACAGTAGGACCTCTGGTCATGACCATAATTCGTTCCATAACTTTGATCGCAACCCGATTTGGTCATGACCCAAACCTAATTTTGGAAATTTGGTGCTACAAACAAAAAAAATGGTGCGGATGGGGAAATCAGCCACGAAAAAAAAAAGTGAATTTTTGAGTTGGAACCTGATTTGGTCGTGGTCAGAAGCGTTTGTGACCAGAGGTTCTACTGTACTGTAGAATTGATTTATAAGGAAATCCTGTGGTCTTTGGCTCGCGCATTTTCTCAGGTCTTCATTCTTCCCCAAATCGCAGTAGTGCTCAGTCTTTACCTACTACTGAATTTATTTTATTTTTATTTATTTAGTTTGTCAAACATGTACAAGATAACAGATATAAGTATAAACATGGACATGAACACAGGAAATGAGTACAAATAAATGGGGACAGTAGGACAGGGACGATAGGCACGCTGGTGCAGTTATGCACGCCCCATTTATGGACTTCTTAGGAATGGGGTGAGGTCCAAGCTGTGAGGGTTAGAGGATGTAACAACCGAGTCAGGTAGTGAAAAGTGATTTATTCTATTCGGTAATATGTATTGATTTACTCTTCTAAACATTTAAGCTTAGTAATACTTAATTTTTGCCTTGGAACAATTATAATGCTAAACAAGCAAGACAAAAAGGCAATAGCTGAGTATAACCATGATGATAATGATAATCCTATTCATTCAATCAAATCCTGTCTATGCATCAGTTGTATAACGACAGGTATAACAACTATTGCATTGCTTGCAAATTTGGCTGTTTAAATGGACAAGCTGATTAATTAATAAATATCTCCAAAAGAAACCATAAAATTTGATGGTAAGGCTCAAAAATTCCATCAGGTCAGAAAATGAATAAAGCTATGCTACTTAACCATGTGAGTTATTAGATAACAGCTGATTAAAGGACGGAAAACTATAAATTATTTAAAAACCTGACATCCTGTACGCAGGGCTGGAAGTCTTATGAATATCTACCCTTAAAACACATTATCCAGATTATGTAAAAAAAAAAAAAACCAAAAAAACCCTACAGCCATTTGTACAGTCAAATGTCCAAAACGGAAAGGTGACTCAGATTATTGTGGATGAGAGCGTCAAAAGTGAATTGAACCTTGAAATAGATGGAGCTTCAATTACACTGCCATCTTGATTTTTTTTTTTAACTATGCCCTGCAGATATTTCTGATTGCCAGGGTGGATATTGGCAAGTATTTTCAGGTCAGATCAGTACAGAGATTGAACCAGACCTGCTAAACTTCTCTAAATATCTAGTCCCCATTAAAGCTGGTATCTCGCAAAATTCCATTTCAACTATAATGATGTTGTTTTCAGCTGCCATTTTATGATTGCGTGTGCTTCGCTACTATTCACTGACAGACTGCCACGAACTCTGGGGAATGGAGAAATGTAACAGAGAAAGCTTGGGGGGGAAACGAAAGTAAGTGCTGTATCTCCTCCAGATGCTGCTTCAAGGTCAAGAGGCATACCAGCTGCATACCAAACTGTGCCTCTCTGTTAGGAAAACATCTTGCCTGAACCTCATTCGTTGCCTGGGGATAAGTAGTGGGATGTAGCTAAGGTGGGGAAAAGTTGAACTTAGGGATTTTGACATGCGATTCTCAGATCTGGCTTTGCATTACTGTGATACACTTGACTCAGCAGGGAAATCCACTTAGCTTCACTACTGGTTCAGGAATGGGAGTGTTGTAGATTTAATAAGATAAACACAACTTTTGGGTTAATCAGAGACAAATTTATATATTGCGCAATAGGTTCAAAGCTCTGTACATGAAGCGTTGAACAAAGACAGAAATTAGGTACAATGGTTTTATACCCTTCTAGACAAAGGATTCTGTTAACTCAGCAATTCATATGGTCATATACATTTATCATTTTTAATTGACATTTCCTAATTACAGAGTTTCTTTGCAAAACAGTTATAATTCTTTTTGTAGATTACTGAAGCATAGATTCAAATCATCTTCTGACGATAGACAACTTTTAACTCATGTGGATCCCCTTGACCTAACCAACCTTTAAGCTGTATGTCATTAGAATGTTCCTTTCTTCTGACAACTTAGAGGCCTCCTAGAGGAACCAAAAGGATTTTGGCTGAGTTTGTACTTTTTCCAACAGGATGCATTGCTTTTTAGAATAGAGTAAATAGAAAGTTATCCAGTGGTCATCTATCAGAGCCCGCTTCATTACATTAGGAGCGTAGAGGAGCACGTGCATACATCTCTTCTGCGCATGCAAATAGCCTTCTGCGCATGCGCAGAGGGTCAAAAACGGGACACAATGACATCCTGGCGGATGGGAAGAGCCTCCCACCGCTGGCGCTACCAGTTTGCGTGAGCCAGATAGATCCGGCCGGATTTCACCACTGGTTTGATTTCTAATAAAACTATAGACCCTTCTCAACAAATGGAGCCAAGGATTATTTCCATTTAAGAGTTTAAGTTGGGGCAGGTCTGACAGATATGGAATTGCCGGCACATTAAAAAAACAGGGGACAAACAAATAAGGCACATCCTTCACAATGAACCAAAGTCTTCAGCATGCAACAGAGCACACTAGAAGAGAACGAGCAAGGGCTAGCAGCACGTCGTGCCTTCATTCAACTGGACGAAAAGGGAGAAGAGCTTTTGTTCTAAATGGATCCTATGAGAACCAGGTTTGCTCGCCAGGACTTGCTCTTGAGCATATTTTCTGCCCTGCTAGGAAAGTTGCACAAGGAAAACATGCAGGATTCATTATTATTATTATTTTTTTGACTTCCTTTAACTAAGCAAAAGCTAATAGAAGGAAATGAAACAATAGAAAAAAGCAGAGTCATATATACAACTATAAATAGATACATACACATGCACACACACACATATATATACATATATGAGGGTTCTTCAAATATACAACGCAGGATTCCTTTTGCTTGTCAAAACGGTAAAAGGGCGTCATTTCTCCAGTCGAGATAAGGGGAGAAACAGTGGACAAGTCTGTCAATGCTCTGGTCACTCAGGAGCACCAAAAGTGTGTCAGAGATGAACAGTGGATTTAAAAAGTGTGTGTACGCCAAGACAAGGCCAAGGAATAGAGAGCAGCCAAACAAGAACATCATCAGAATTTTGGCTGCTGTCCATAAACAATGCAGAACCTTCCTTTCCTTTGACGTGTCCCCCATCAGCCTGGCCTCCACTTGTTCGTGCATCAGGGTGCCCCTGGTCCAGCCTCACCAAGGAGGCCTGCTGCACGCAGAGGTCCTGTTGGTTCTGCAGGTCTTTGATGCGCTTCCTCCTGTTTTCTCTGACTGTCTGAAGATTTGTAACTTTCTCCTTCAGTTGGCTGGAATGGATCCTCTCCACGTGGTAGCTGTGCTCCATCTTAGCCAGTTTATCCTCCAGGTTACGCAGGTACTTTTGAACCTCCGACGGAAGGTTCTGCATCTCCTTGAGGTTATCCTCTTAGGCAGGCTTGTCGTCTCTGAAGACGGCCACCTGGCTGGTGACGGCGTGCATTTCCTGGTTGAGGTCTTCGTTGGCTTTCACCAAAGACTTGTTCTGCAGCGCTAAATCTTGGATCACTGTGTTGGCCTGCTCCAACCTTTCTCTGATGTCCTCCACAGTTATCTGCAAGTGTTCTATGGTGGACTTAAGGTAATCCATTGTGTTCCGGAGAGATTTCTGCTGCTCTTTGATGCATTCCTTGTCTTTGAGGAACATCTTGTTCTCAGAGTCCAAGCAGGCTAAAGTCCCCCTCAGTTCTTCTATCTGGAGACGGAGACTTTTTTGGGTTGCTGAGAGGTCTTCCAGGGGTTCTGTCTGCTTCCGAGTTGTTTTCAGGATGCTGGGCTGTTTGAGAAATGGAGAGACACAATCACACCCTCTCCTCAGTCCTGGGGGTGGGGGTGGGGGTGAATTTGCTAAACTGCTTTGATGCATTCCCTTTCTCTCTTTCTTTCAGCCCTATCCACCTCATAGAGTTGTTGTGGTGGGGAAAATTGGAGGAGGAAGAAGAATTAGATCAGGGTGTCAAACTCAGTTTCATTGAGGGACGCATTAGGGGTATGGTTTACCTTGGGGTGGGGGGGGCGTGCAGGCATGGGTGGCTGGGTGGGTGTGGCCAACTGAGTGGGCATGGCCAGCTTGATGCCACTCCCCAAACTGCTGGCATGTTAGGGTAGACCAGGCCGAAGCCACACAGGCCCAATGTTTCCTCTTTGCAGTGAGTAGATTGGGCCAAAGCAACGCAGGTAAACCGGGCTGAAGCGACGTGGGCTGCCCCTTTACATTTTCTAGGACGGCCCTGTGGGCTGGATCAAACCACATCATGGGCTGGATCCAGCGCAGGGGCCTTGTGTTTGACACCCCTGCATTAGATATTTCATTTCCTAATAAAGGTGGGATTAAAAATCTAATAAATAAAAAAATAAAAAGAAATAGTTCAAGGTAAGTTCTTTGGGAAAAAACTTTTGACAGGATACCAGAGCTTCTAGTTTTGTTTCTAATTAATGTACAAGAGTTTTAAAGATTTTTTTTCCCCCAAATTAAAATACAAAATAAAGAAAAAGGAAAAACAAACTAACAACCACCAGTGACTAATAATAGGTTTGTAATTTGTTGAAGTTTGGTGATAAAGGTAATGGGCCATGTTGTTTAAAATGTTGCAAAACAGTTTCAATTTCTAAAGATAAATTTACATTAGTAGATAAAGACAAAGAATGATTAGTTTCAATATTTAAATCATTACAGTTTACAGTAATAGAAGGCTGAAATGAGTTACTGTCAGCAGAGATAGGTAATTGAACGTCAGATTGTTGATTGGAGTCGTTTGGTGTGAGAGAAGATGTTGCAGATGATTCAACGATAGGAGGAATAATGGAGGTGGTGGTTGTAGTTTGATTCGGAAGAGCTGCTGCGACGGCGTCGGCTGCTGTAGAAGGTAGGTTGGCTTTTGATGCAAAAGCTGCAAAAATCGTGTGAATTTGTTGTTTGGACGGGGCATCTGTAGTGTTGGAGTGTGGTAGCGGCAGTGGTAGCGGCGGCATCTTCGGCGATAAGGGGGGGAGTGAGGCGGTGGCTGCAAAGACTGAAAAGGATCTTTTTACATTGGAAACAATATTGGTATCAGTAGAAATATATGCAGCTGCTGCAGCTGCAGCGGTATAGATGGGGAGGTCAACAGAAAAGTTCTGAAAATTTAAAAAAAAAATTGGGAGGATTCGAACTCGGTGCTCTGGATGAAGAAGGTAGGGAATCCGTCTGAATATCTCCAGTTGTGGGGCGGGTAGTAGGATGTATGGGGGTAAGGGGGTTGGTTGAGACCTTGTGGTCTGAAGTGGTAGACGTCATTTTGTTTAAAATGTGGTCATATAAATTGTCGGCCATTTTGTGGACCGCATGGTGGAGTGTGGGGGGCGGCCATTTTGTCGGCCATTTTGTCAGCCATGCTTTCGGGGAAGGTGGAAGCCATATTGGAAGCAATAAAGCCAATAGGTGGGGAGGGAGGATTTTTAATATAATGGTTGTTTAAAAGGTCAGTCTGGGAATCTATGGGTTGAAGCAAAAAATTGTGGCTTACCAGGTCTGGTGAGGTTGAAAGGGGTGTTCAACAGTTCAAGAGTCCTTTGAGGAGTCCAGCCTGCATTTAGCAGGCCTGTCGCATGTAAAGCTTGATATAAATGCTGTTTTGGAGAAGCTTGAGAAAATAAAAAGTTGGTCTGAAGTTATAGGGTTGGAACAGACAAGGGATTCAGGAGGTTCAAGTCCTTGATGATAGTCATGAGGTGGAGTAGAATTGAGATCGAAGCAAGGTTGTTTGTAAGCGTGGGTCTGTTCTTTCGGTGTTCGGGTGAAGAGGAAAAAAAAAAAATTGGGTCCTTTCGTAAAGAGGTTTGTACTTGCTGCCTAGCTTCAATAGAAAGTTTTTTTAGTCTTTTGGATAATGATTGGTGCTGTTTTGTTAAGGATATGGTTAATGCATCCATCTCTTGTAAAGATAGTTCGTTCAGGTTCAAGAATTCCACGTTAGGAAAAATCGTTCTATGATTTTAAAATTTACAAAAAAAAATTCATAGACCTGAGCAATAATTTTTCATCGTCTGCTACCATTTGTCAGATATATATTGAGGGTCGTGCTCATTTGGTTCTAGGAGGAAGTTATTTGGTCAATACAGCTCCAGGTTCAAAAAGTTGTTTTATTATGTACAATATATAATATGTATACAATAATGTTATACAGGGTGTCCTGTTGCACCTTTACCCTAACCGTATGACTCAGGTATTGAGAGGAGAGATACGTTCACTTGTTGTCTTGTTGAGAGAGAGATGAGAAAAAAACAGGGAAGATGTCCAAGTGGTTTCTGGGTAAGAGTCCAATAAGAGTCACATGTGATGTCTGTGAAGACTTAACCCCTTCTAGTCTGTTATATCACATGCTGGCAATATTCTGACAAAAATAAAGAAAAAGGAAAAACAAACTAACAACCATCAGAGACTAATAATAAAAAATAAAAATAACCTTGTGCACAAATAAAAGGATAACGAATAGCGAATATATCATCCACACTGACATTAAACATAGAAAATCCAGACAATGCTGATAAATGTATATCAGAATTATCTGATGTGTTCTCCTCCCTATTACAAAATATACTGTAGACATGTATATGTTTATTTAAATTTAAATTATAAATTTTCCCATCTATATTTGATACAAATACTATGTCACATTAAAAAATGTCTGATGTGGAAATTTTGTTCATCTAGCAATCCAATGAACCCAACCTCTGTTTGCTATATATTAAAAAAAAGCAGTCAACAGATAACCCTGAAGGTAAAACTAATCTTCCAAACCCTCCATTTCCCCTCCTTCATTGCTGGTCAATGAAGTTGATCTTTTTAGGTTAACTTCCTCAAATCATTGAGCCAGAGCAATTTCTATCTTTGGGATCAACGTGGCCTTCAAACTGGGATATCCTGAAGCCGATTTTTGCTCCTAACTCTTACAGATGTTTCTTAATGTACGTTATTGTTAGCCGGCTGACTCCCAACCCCTTAAGGAGGTGTGTACCTTTGCCATTGTAGATGGTGAGATTCAGTCCTAGGTGTTGAGGTTGCTACTGAAGCAGGTATGACCACTTCTCTAGTGTGTAGTGTTGAACCCCCTTTTCTAGCCTCGCCCCGTATATAAATAAATACCGAAATAAAACAATTTTGCAGTCGCTTTTCTTCGGGATCCAGGTATTTTGAACCTAATCTTGGCAGTGCTGCCATCCAGAAGAGCCAACACTGCTGGAAATGTTGACAGTTGGCCATGGTCCTCCAGCCAATGAGATTCAGAGGAGCAAGTGATGTCACAAACAATGGCTTGGATTTGGCCTGGACCTGAAGTTTGGGAAAAATCAATTCTCTGGTTGCCTTCACATGAGAGAGCCTGGCCCATTAATTTTAATAGCAAACTAAGTTAAGCTCTTTTTTACAAGTGAGCCATGAATTAACTTCAACCAGAGCTCGTCCATCTAAATCATTTTGGATTTGTTGTTTTTAACAGTCGCTTGGTCGATTGCCGTCGTGAGCCGCTCTGAGTCCTCGGAGATAGGGCGGCATACAAATTAATTAATTAATTAAATATATATATATAAATCTGTCTTCTTAAGTTTTCGCGGGTGTGTATATGCAAAAAATTAAAATCTCGGGTGTTTTTCCCGCGTCATTTAAATAAGTTAGTTAAAATGTTTAAAATTCTGGTTAAAATCCTAGCTTAAACTCTTCTAATTCATAGGTTCAAATGTATAATACTTTTAATAATAATAATAATAATAATAATAATTTTATTTCTATACCGCCCTTCTCCCGAAGGACTCAGGGCGTGTACAGCCTATTTTAAAAACACAGAAACAAAACAACAATTAAAATTTAAAATCATTAAATAATTAGGCTCCAATTAAAATCCCAGAAATTTAAAATACCCCAATTTAAAACGTTATGTTAATACCCGGCCTGGCGGAACAACAGGGTCTTCAGAGCGCAGCGAAACACCCGGAGGTCGGAGATCTTACGTATTTCCGGGGGCAGTTCATTCCACAGGGCTGGGGCTCCCACAGAGAAGGCCCTCCCCCTGGGTGTCGCCAGCCGACATAACTTGGCTGATGGCACCCTGAGGAGACCCTCTCTGTGGGAGCGGACTGGTCGGTGGGAGGCTATTGGTGGCAGAAGTCGGTCTCGGGGTTGTCAGTGTTTTTTTTTAGGCAGCTCAAGATGTTTTGTGTAGCCATAGTGGGGTGATAGCTCAAGAGATATCACCCAACTTGAGATATGACCCCACTATGGCTACACAAAACATCTTGAGCTACATTTTCCAAAGCACTACAGGGCAGGATGAGAAACAATGGTTGCTTCTCTCCTAATCAAGGAGAGAAGCAACCTGGAATTAAGGAGTAACTTCCTAACAGTGAGGAAAATTAACCAGTGGAACAGCTTGCCACCAGAAGTTATGGGTGCTCCATCACTGGAGGCTTTTGAGAAGAGACTGGACAGCCACTTGTCTGAAATGGTATAAGGTCTCCTATTTGAGCAGGGGTTGGGACTAATAGACCTCGAAGGTCCCTTCCAGCTCCATTCTGAATTGAACTGAATTAAATTGAATTGAAGGACGACCCCCTGCATTCACACGACCGGAGGAAGAAAGAAGTACAATCTACGGGCATTCCTGCAGGAGAGGCGCGGGCTATACATTCATTCAGGGAATATTTAAGGTCGAGTTAACCTTTAGGGTTGTGTGGAGGCGCCTGCGTGTATTGGGCAAACCCAACCCATCGGGTTGGCTTAAGACAGTGGTAGGCAAACTTGGCTCTTTCACACCCTGAGACGCCAAGCTGTCTTAGGAATTCTGGGAGTTGAAGTCCACAGGGTGTGAAAGAGCCAAGTTTGCCTACCACTGGCTTAAGAGATCAATTTTGCAAAGCGAAGAAGTCACTTTTTGACAGTCTCGGTTAATGTTGGCCCAGGACCGGATCGCAAACCCCCATCCTCCACAGCCCAACGCGAAAGGACGAGAGGCCGGCGGACGGGCTCTCTGCAGACCCCGCCTGGCCGCGCCTGCAAGGACCGGCGAGGAGGGGGGTTGGAGAGAGGGGGGCGGAGCTTGAGTCCCCGCCCGGAATTCCCCGGAAGAGATGACGTCACTCGTTTCTCCAAAGGCTCACATGGCCGCAGCTGCTTCCGCGGCGGCGATGGAGGAAGAGGAGGAGGAGGAAGAAGAAGAGGAAGCATGGTTGATGGACTCCCTGAGGCTGTGAGTCGCCCTTCCTTGGCCCCGGATGGGAGAATGCAACTTCCATCCTCCCCAGCCGATTGCGCTCCCCCACCTGCTCCAGCGCGATGGGAGTGGCACCTTATAGTCTCTGCGCTGCGCTGGAGAGGCTTTTGCAACCCTTTGCATCTTTGCCTGGGGAGGGAGGGCTCTTGGGGGGCGTGGGGGGCCTGGTGAAGCCTGCCCCTCCCGCCTCTCCTCCTCCCACCGACTTCAATCCCTCATTTTAGCCAAGCGGGGTTTTCTTTTCCAAAGTCAAGCAATCTTGGATCCCTTGAGGATCCGTTCCATGGGCAATCCTGAGAAAGAACAGGCTGGTGGGGTGGGGGTGGGAGTGTGGTGGATGTCTGTTGCTGGCTTTACCATTGCATTAATCGTTGCAGTATTGTTGGATTTAGTATTTATGTATTTGTCAAACATGTACAAGAACAGGTATAAGTATAAACATGGACATGAGCATAGGAAATGAGTCAGGGGTAAAATCCAGCAGGTTCTGACAGGTTCTGGAGATCCGGTAGCGAAATTTTGAGCAGTTCAGAGAACCGGCAAATACCACCTCTGGCTGGCTCCAGAGTAGGATGGGAGTGGAGATTTTGCAGTATCCTTCCCCTGGAGTGGAGTGGGAATGGAGATTTTGCCGTATCCTTCCCCTGGAGTGGGGTGGGAGTGGAGATTTTGCAGTATCCTTCCCCTGGAGTGGGGTGGGAATGGAGATTTTGCCGTATCCTTCCCCTGGAGTGGAGTGGGAATGGAGACTTTGCAGTATCCTTCCCCAGGAGTGGGGTGGGAATGGAGACTTTGCAGTATCCTTCCCCAGGAGTGGGGTGTGAATGGAGATTTTGCAGTATCCTTCCCCAGGAGTGGGGTGGGAATGAGGATTTTGCAGTATCCTTCCCCTGCCACGCCCACCAAGCCACCCTACACCAGTAACCATAGTAAAAAAATATGGATTTCACGACTGTGACAAATAAATGGGTGACAGTAGGACAGGGGGCAGGAGACTAAAGCATGTTATTAACAGTGCTGTTATTATTAACATCATGCTGAGCAATTACTGCAAGTTCAAATCTCAGCATCAGAGGTTGACTAGATTGCCATCCTTTCTAAGGTAGGTAAAATGAGGACCCAGATTGTGGGGGCAATAAGCTGACTTTGTATAAAATATACAAAAGTATGAAGGCTATTGCTTAACGCATTGTAAGCCGCCCTGAGTCTCCGGAGAAGGGCAACATATAAATCAAATAAAAACAAAAAAAAAATCCAAAAAAAAAATAATGGTAGGCACACTGGTGCGCTTATGCACGCCCCCTTTACGGTCCTCTTAGGAATGGTGTCCACGGTACAGTTTAAGGTTGAAGCTGTGAGGGTTAGAGATGTAACAACCGAGTCAGGTAGTGAAAAGTGATTTATTCTATTCGGTAATATGTATTGATTTACTCTTCTAAACGTTTAAGCTTAGTAATACTTAATTTTTGCCTTGGAACAATTATAATGCTAAACAAGCAAGGCAAAAAGGAAATAGCTGTGTATAACCATGATGATAATGATAATCCTACTCATTCAATCAAATCCTGTCTATCCATCAGTTGTATTACGAGACCGCCTTCTGTCACCAGTAGCCTCTCACTGGCCAGTACGGTCCCATAGAGAGGGGCTCCTCAAGGTGCCGTCAGTCAAACAGTGTCGACTGGCGGCCCCCAGGGGGAGAGCGTTCTCTGTGGGGGCACTGCCATTTGGAACGAGCTTCCCCCGGAGATACGGAGGATCCCGGATTTATGCACTTTCCGTCGTGCCTCTCAAGACCTTTTTATTTCAACAGGCTGGCCTGGCCTAACTTCCTTTTAATTGTTAATTTTAAATTTGTTTTAAAAACAATAGGGCTGTTTTAATTTGTATGGGCCAAATTATTTAATGTGCCTTTACATTGTTTTTTAAATTTTGTATTATGTGTGTTTTATCCTTTGGCTGTTCACTGCCCTGAGTCCTTCGGGTAGTAGGCGGTATATAAATCCAAAATAAAGTAAAGTAAAGTAAAAGTATAACAACAAGTATAACAACTATTGCATTGCTTGCAATTTGGCTGTTTAAATGGACAAGCTGCTTAATTAATAAATAAATATCTCCAAAAGAAACCATAAAATTTGACAGTAAGGATATATATTGCATAAAATATATGCAATGTATGTTATCTTCCAACATCAGATGACCATTTTCATCCTCCTGATAACAGATCATCCTACAAGATAACAGATGTAGGTATAAACATGGACATGAACACAGGAAATGAGTACAAATAAATGGGGACAGTAGGACAGGGATGATAGGCACACTGGTGCGCTTATGCACGCCCCCTTTATGGAACTCTTAGGAATGGGATGAGGTCCATGGTAGACAGTTTAAGTTGAAGCAGTGAGGGTTTAGAGGATGTAACACTCCCCAAACTGCTGGCATGTTAGGGTAGACCAGGCCGAAGCCACGCAGGCCCAATGTTTCCTCTTTGCAGTGAGTAGATTGGGCCAAAGCAACGCAGGTAAACTGGGCTGAAGCGACGTGGGCTGCCCCTTACATTTTCTAGGACGGCCCTGTGGGCTGGATCAAACCACATCATGGGCTGGATCCAGCCCAGGGGGCTTGTGTTTGACACCCCTGCATTAGATATTTCATTTCCTAATAAAGGTGGGATTAAAAATCTAATAAGTAAAAAATAAAAAGAAATAGTTCAAGTAAGTTCTTGGGAAAAAACTTTGACAGGATACCAGAGCTTCTAGTTTTGTTTCTAATTAATGTACAAGAGTTTTAAAGATTTTTTTCCCCCAAATTAAAATACAAAATAAAGAAAAAGAAAAACAAACTAACAACCACCAGAGACTAATAATAGGTTTGTAATTTTTTGAAGTTTGGTGATAAAGGTAATGGGCCATGTTGTTTAAAATGTTGCAAAACAGTTTCAATTTCTAAAGATAAATTTACATTAGTAGATAAAGACAAAGAATGATTAGTTTCAATATTTAAATCATTACAGTTTACAGTAATAGAAGGCTGAAATGAGTTACTGTCAGCAGAGATAGGTAATTGAACGTCAGATTGTTGATTGGAGTCGTTTGGTGTGAGAGAAGATGTTGCAGATGATTCAAAGATAGGAGGAATAATGGAGGTGGTGGTTGTAGTTTGATTCGGAAGAGCTGCTGCGACGGCGTCGGCTGCTGTAGAAGGTAGGTTGGCTTTTGATGCAAAAGCTGCAAAAAGTGGTATAGATGGGGAGGTCAATAGAAAAGTTCTGAAAATTTTAAAAAAAAATTGGGAGGATTCGAACTCGGTGCTCTGGATGAAGAAGGTAGGGAATCAGTCTGAATATCTCCAGTTGTGGGCGGGTAGTAGGATGTAGGGGGTAAGGGGGTTGGTTGAGACCTTGTGGTCTGAAGTGGTAGACGTCATTTTGTTTAAAGTGTGGTCATATAAATTGTCGGCCATTTTGTGGAGCGCATGGTGGAGTGTGGGGGGCGGCCATTTTGTCGGCCATTTTGTCAGCCATGCTTTCGGGGAAGGTGGAAGCCATATTGGAAGCAATAAAGCCAATAGGTGGGGAGGGAGGATTTTTAATATAATGGGTGTTTAAAAGGTCAGTCTGGGAATCTATGGGTTGAAGCAAAAAATTGTGGCTTACCAGGTCTGGTGAGGTTGAAAGGGGTGTTCAACAGTTCAAGAGTCCTTTGAGGAGTCCAGCCTGCATTTAGCAGGCCTGTCGCATGTAAAGCTTGATATAAATGCTGTTTTGGAGAAGCTTGAGAAAATAAAAGTTGGTCTGAAGTTATAGGGTTGGAACAGACAAGAGATTCAGAAGGTTGAAGTCCTTGATGATAGTCATACGATATGATAGTCATTTCACCTACCTTTGAAAGGATGGAAGGCTGAGTCAACCTTGAGCCTGGTGAGATTTGAACTTGCAGTAATTGCAAGCAGCAGTTGTTAATAACAGTGCTTTAGTCCACTGTACTACAGGCTCTTTATACAGTTTTGGTCACCTCACTATAAAAAAGATGTTAACACTCTAGACAAAGTGCAGAGAAGAGCAACCAGGATGATTAGGGGACTGGAGGCTAAAACATACGGTGAACGGTTGCAGGCACTGGGCATGGCTAGTCCAGTGAAGAGAAGGACCAGCAGAGACATGATAGCAATCTTCCAATATTTGAGGGGCTGCCACAGAGAGGAGGGGGTCAAGCTATTTTCCAAAGCACCCGAAGATCAGACAAGGAATAATGGATGGAAACTGGTCAAGGAGAGATTCAACCTGGAAATGAGAAATTTTCTGACCTTGAGAGCCATCAACCAATGGAACAGAAGTTGCCTTCAGAAATTGTGAGAGCTTCATCACTGGAATCTTTCAAGAAGAGACTGGACTGCCATCTGTCAGAAATGGTATAGGGCAGTGATGGCTAATCTTTTTGCCGTCACGTGCCAAAAGCGGGGGCAGTACAGGGGGGGCCACATGCACGTCTGCCCACAGCCATAATTCAGTGCGCCCTGCCCCCCTGCGCTACCCCCGCTTTTAGCCCGTGATGGCCTGGTGGGCCCATTTTTTGCCCTCCCCAGGCTGCAGAGGCTTCCTTGGAGCCTGGGGAGGGCGAGAACGGCCTTCCCCACCTCTCCTGGAGGCCCTCCAGAGGCTGGAAACATCCTGTTTCCCAACTTCCTATGGGCCCGGAAGGCTCGAAAATCACGTGGCCGGCACGCGCATGCACGCTGAAGCTGAGCTAGAGCAATGCTCGTGTGTCCACCGATATGGCTCCGCATGCCACCTGTGGCACGCGTGCCATAGGTCCGCCATCATGGGTATAGGGTCTCCTGCTTGGCAGGGGGTTGGACTAGATGACTTACAAGGTCCCTTCCAACTCTGTTAATCTGTTAACAGGGATGCTGTTATGGCTGTAAATTTGAGGACTGGTCATAAGTGCCTTTGTTAGTGCCATTCTCATTTTAAAGAGCTGAATTTAATTTAATTTAATTTAATTTAATTTAATTTAATTTAATTAATTCAATTTATATGCCGCCCCTCTCCGAAGACTGAGGGCGGCTCCCAATACATTTAAAAAAATTATTATAAAAAGCATTTAAAAATTAAAAACATTAAAAACTCATTCACGCCATTCATGGCTGGATCTCGCCAGATCACAAGAGCGAGATCAACGGCCCCAGACTTGCCGGAAAAGCCAGGTCTTCACCGCTTTTCGGAAGGCCAATAGGGAGGGGATGGTCCGGCCCTCAGGAGGTAACTGGTTCCAGAGAGCCGGGGCTGCCACAGAGAAGGCCCTCCCCCGCGGGCCCACCAGCCGGCATTGTTTAGCTGACAAGACCTGGAGGAGACCAACTCTGTGGGATCTTACCAGTCGCTGGGAGCTATGCAGCAGAAGGCGGTCTCGAAGATACCCTGGCCCTGACCCATGTAGGGCTTTAAAGGTAATAACCAACACCTTGTAAGCCAAGGACTACATATAATTATCTCCCAACCATGGGTCTTGGGTGCTTCATCCCCTGATGGCCTTGCTTATTATTGCGCTCTTCAGACAACCCCAAGGTTTGCAGGTTCAGGCGACACTCCCCCTATTTTGGCCTTAAGATGGAGCATTGCTGCCTTCATTGGGACACTAGAGTGGGGCAGACCATTGACCTATTCCTTTCCCCTTCTTGAATGTGCCCTCCCTCTCCCCATTCATCTTGCTTAGATACAACGACCTGCATCTCTTTGAACTCCCCGGGCCCACCAGAGTCATCGAATGGACAGGAGACCAACGTGAGTGACCGTTCATTGCCTTTCAAGGTTTGACTTGGATGAGTTGGGGGCAGCTGCAGTGGGGAGGGTCTCCTGAGGAGGGTTTTTTCCCCACCCTGGGCTCCACATTTCCATGCCATGGAGAAGGATCGTGATTTCCTCTAGGACAACCATCAGCCTCTCTGGTAGAGCAGATGAGGAAACCAAATTTGTGGGAAGGCTGAGTTGAATGTCGATGAAGATTCTCAGTCATCCAGGCCAGGGTTGGGCAAATGTGGCTCTTTTACAACCTGTGGACTTCAACTCCCAGAATTGCTGAGATAGCCAATTCCTGAGTCAGCCAAGCTGACTCAGGAATTCTGGGAGTTGAAGTCCACAGGTTGTAAAAGAGCCACATTTGCCCACCCCTGATCCAGGCCATATTTGTCCCAAAGGTGCATTTTTTTCAAGAGGCCAACTGGATTTTCTGGGTTTTTTTTTTAAGATGTTTCGCTTCTCATCCAAGAAGCTTCCTCAGCTCCCCACCATCCAGTCAGAACTGAAGAAGCTTCTTGGATGAGAAGCGAAACGTCTTCAAAGAAAAACCAGAACGTCCAATGGCCTCTTGAAAAAAATGCACCTTTGGGAAGTCTAAGTTGAAAATAATTGCTCCAATGGGTTAGGTAGGGAGAGGGCTTAGAAAAAAATGTGGGTTCTCAGTAAATACAGGTAGTCCTCAACCTATAACCCAAAATTGGATCCAGAATGATTGTTGCTAACAAGGTATTGTTAAGTGAGTTGCACCCAATTTTATGAACTTTTTTTTTTGCCCTGGCTGTTAAATGTACTCCCTGTAATTGTTCATTGAGTTATGCAGTTGTTAAATGAATTTGGCTTCGCCCACTTGCATAGCTGACTGGCTGGGAATGTGAGGACTTTTTCAGTGCTGTTGTGACTTTGAATGGTTGCTAATTGAATGTTTGTAAATTGAGGATTACCTATAGCCGTGATGGCGAACTTATGGCACGTGTGCCACAGGTGGCACGCGGAGCCATATCTGTCAGCACGCGAATGTTGCCCTAGCTTAGCTCCAGTGTGCATGCGTACGCCAGCCAGTTGATTTTCGGGCCTTTCGGGCCCACCGGAAATCATGAAATGGGCTGTTTCTGGCCTCTGGGGTGGGGGAGGCTGTTTTGGCCCTCCCCAGGCTCCTAGAAAGCCTCTGGAGCCTGGGGAAGGCAGAAAACAGGCCTACGGACCCACTGTGCCACCGTGGGCCAGAAGTGGTGGGAGCACAACGGGGGTCGTCTGTGCATGCACGGGGGTGGGCACATTGAATTATGGGTGTGGGCACGCGCGCACTCAACCCCCCCCCCCGCACTCCGCCCCCCTCCGCTTTTGGCACGCAACGGCAAAAAGGTTAGCCATCACTGACCTATAGTATGGCTGTTTGCCTGTTTGCAACACTGAGATTGATTGTGATGTTTCTCTCCAGGCATTTGTGTTGCTGGATACGAGAATGGGAGCAGGAACGAAATTCTGCAGCTGCTTCTGCCTCCAAGGCTGCTCGCAAAACAGAATAAGGTAAAGTAGGGATCACAGTGGCAAGGTTGTTTGCAAGATGGTGGCTCTCCGGGGCAAAAGTGTCCTGTGGAACTCACCTCCACTAGATGTAGGGACTGCTGTTAACTAAGCTGTTCCCTTAGATGGCTTTCGAGGGAGATTGGATAAATTCACCCAGGATAGAGAACCCAATATCTGGATTTGCATTACAAGGCGGTCCTCGGCTTACGACCGCAATGGAGCCCCAAATTTCTGTGGTTGTCAGGATAGTTATTAAGTGAGTTTTGCCCCTTTTTATGATGTTTCTTGCCACGGTGGTTAAGTTAATCACTGCAGTTAAGTAACAAGGTTGTTAAGTGAATCTCGCTTCGCCCTTGATTTTGCTTGTCAAAAGGTTGCAACGGGGATCACGTGACCTTAGGACACAGTGACGGACGTAAGTATGAACCGGTTGCCAAGCATTTGAATTTTGATCCCATGATCATGGGGAATGCTACAAAGGTGTTAAGTGTGCAAAATGGTTGTAAGTCACCTTTTTCGGTGCCATTGTAAGTTTGAACGGTCACTAAAGGAATTGTTGTAAGTCGAGAACTACCTGTATATAGGAAATATAAGAAAACAGAAGCATCACCCCAAGCTTAGCTGCACCCCAGAACCTCTTGCCTACTCTGACTCTCCAAATCTGAGGATTACAACTCCCATCATGCTCAATGGTTATTGGTCCAGTGTGTAGCCCAGGGTAGATATAATAGTCCTCATGGTCATGTGATCAAAATTTGGGCACTTGACAGTGTGTATTTATGACAGTTGCAGCATCCATATGATTTCTGTTTGCAACCTTCCCAACTGGTCTCTGACAAGCAATGTCCATGGGGGAAGCCAGATCCACTTAACCCGCAGGTGATTCACTTAACAATGCAGTGCTTCACTTGACCATGGCAAGAAACGTAAAATCGAACATGACTCGCTTGTCAACCCGCTTGCTTCAATACAAAGAGTATAAATCAGGGATGAAATCCAGCAGGTTCTGGAGAACTGGTAATGGAAATTTTGAGCAGTTCAGAGAACCAGCAAATACCACCTCTGGCTGGCCCCAAAGTGGGGGGGAATGGAGATTTTGCAATATCCTCCCTCCTGGAGTGGAGTGAGAACGGAGATTTTGCAATATCCTACCCCCAGGAGTGGGGAGGGAATGGGGATTTTGCAATATCCTTCCCCTGGAGTGGGGTGGGAATGGAGATTTTGCGGTATCCTACCCCCTGGAGTGGGGTGGGAATGGAGATTTTGCAGTATCCTTCCCCCAGGAGTGGGGAGGGAATGGAGATTTTGCAGTATCCTTCCCCCAGGAGTGGGGAGGGAATGGAGATTTTGCAATATCTTTCCCCCAGGAGGGGGGTGGGAATGGAGATTTTGCAGTATCCTACCCCTAGGAGGGGGGGGAATGGAGATTTTGCAGTATCCTTCCCCCAGGAGTGGGGTGGGAATGGAGATTTTGCAGTATCCTTCCCCTGCCACGCCCACCAAGCCACACCCACAGAACCGGTAGTAAAAAAAAATGGATTTTACACTGGTTTAAATCCATCCATTCCCCCACCATTCAGTTAGAACCAAAGAAGCGTCTTTTCTAAGAAGCGAAATGTTTTCAGGAAAAAAGCCATGCAAATCCTGTTGCCTTTTGGAAAAGCACCTTTGGGACAACCTTGCTTAGCAACAGCAGTTCTGCTCTCAGTTGTGGTCGTAAGTCAAGGATTGCCTGTACTCAACCGTCCCAGTGATCCAAGGTTGTCTCTGCTTCTCTTTTCCACAATCAGCTGAATGCTACCAGGGAGCTGGGCACTAGCCAGTAAGATCAGCAGGGAACAGGCAGTGCAGATGTTACCTTTTCCCTTTATTTTTTTGTTTTAATAGTTGTGGCCAATGTTATTTTGCTGTTCTGGTCTGTTTTATTTTCTTTCAATATGACGAGTGGATCCTTGGATTTTTGTTTTTGTTTTTGCAGGGCTTATGTCCGGAGAGAGATTTCAAGGTTGAAAGGGGTGGAATCTGTGATCGGCCCATCTACAGACTCAAACATGTCCCGGGAACCAGGTAGGAGGTTAAAAGCCTTGTTGAGGACATAAGTTGAGTTAGGAAGGCCTAAAAGGAGAAGCAAAAACTATATTTAAAGGAAACATTACTGGCCCATTGATAGCCGACTAGAGCACTAATCTGGGCCAGAGATGTGGTGTTCTTTTCTTTATAATTTTTTTAATCAGTGCTTTTTATTAATTCATAATATAAAATACAGAAGCAAATAATAGGAAAAATAGGAGAGGGAAAAGGGAAGAGAAAAGTGTAAAGAAGGGAAAAAGAAAGAAAAGGCATTGACTTCTGACTCCCTTTGGTGCAGGAGAATAAGTGACGTTGGTGGGAAGGCAACAGCGTTCCGTGCACGTTTGGTGTTTAGTCATGCCAGCCACATGACCACGGAGACGTCTTCAGACAGCGCTGGCTCTTCGGCTTTGAAACAGAGATGAGCATCGCCCCCTAGAGTTGGGAATGACTAGCACATATGTGCGAGGGGAACCTTTACCGTTACCTTTATAAACTAGCAATTTCTGTAACAACACATCTGTCTAATCAGTAAAACCCAAAATCAAAGTTTCATTTTTTCCCACCTCAAGCACAAAATCCAGAAGCAGTTTCCAAGTAGAAACAAAAGTATTTGTGTTTTTATTTTCTTTGATCAAGCGGTTAATTTAGCCACATCTCGGTTAACTCCATCAGCTTTTGCAACTATTCCTCCATTGAAATATCCTTCCATTTTTGTCCTTAAAGTAAAAGTGCTATGGTGGTCTTTTGTGAATACACTGATGAGTATCACACATTGCACACAGCCTTGATGTGGATGATGGGACTGTGATTTTTAGGGTCTGAAGCATTCAGGATAGCAATAGCACTTAGACTTATATACCGCTTCACAGTGCTTTTACAGCCCTTTCTAAGCGGTTTACAGAATCAGCCTATTGCCCCCAACAATCTGGGTCCTCATTTTATCCACTTCGGAAGGACAGAAAGCTGAGTCAACCTGGAGCCTGGTGAGATTCGAACTGCCAAATTGCAGGCAGCCGGCAGTTAGCAGAAGTAGCCTGCAGTACTGCATTCTAACCACTGCACCACTGCAGGTCTCATTAGGACAGGGGTGGGCAAATGTGGCCCTTTTACAACCTGTGGACTTCAACTCCCAGAATTCCTGAGACAGCTGTCTCAGGAATTCTGGGAGTTGAAGTCCACAGGTTGTAAAAGGGCCACATTTGCCCACCCCTGCATTAGGATACTAATGTGCAATCAAACAGAGACCCGAAAAACCAACAATCAAGGCTCTCTATAGTATTTATTTAACACTGTGCACTGTAGGAACTCCTACAGACAAAAGAATGCACTCATATTGATATATTTCAGAAAAGGAGGAGAAAATGATACACTCACACATATACATACCGTATTTCCCTGAAAATAAGACAGGATCTTATTTTCTTTTGACCCCCGAAATAAGCTCTTGTCACCTCATGGCTGCTGCCGGTTATCAGCTGTTCGCCCCTGAAGCCGTGCACACGCTTCCAGCCATGCTTCCCAGGACTCTGCACCATGCCATCATTGCGGCCACGCTGCAGTGACCGGATGTCTCGTCACTGCCATCACCTACCTCTTCTTCAATAATGGCTTTTGCGGCCATTAGCGTGACAGAAGGGGCGTGGTGGCTAGGGTTGTGGGAATGGCCATTAGGTAAGGGCGTGTGGTATGTGTGGGGCATGTACCCCTCTCCCTCTCCCCCCCTCCCGGCCTCGCCTCCTCACCTTGTGTTGTTTGCACGGCAAGCAACCAGAGGAAATGGCGGGGACCGGCTGCGCATGCATTTAAATATTTTTGGGGAGGGCTTATTTTCAGGGGAGGGCTTATTTTAGTGCATGCGCTCAAAAGCCTGATTGGGCTTATTATCTGGGGAGGTCTTATTTTCAGGGAAACAGGGTAGGTAATAGATGATGTAAGCATGAACATTTATAATCAGCAAGCCTAAAGTTACAGGTAAATAACAGTTCATTTAGTGACCGAGGTTACAATGGCAATAAAAAAGGTGACTTAGGATTGTTTTTCACACACACAACTGTTACAGCCTCCTCATGATCACGTGATTAAAATTCAGATGCTTGGCAATTGACTCGTGTTTATGACGGTTGCAGTGTCCTAGGGTCATGGGTGAGCACCTTTTGCTACCTTCTGAAAAGCAAAGGCAGTGAGGAAGCCAGATTCACTTAACAACCTGCGTTACTAACTGAACAACTGCAGTGATTCATTTAAGAACTGTGGCAAGAAAGATTGCAAAATGTGGGGGGGGAGAAATTCACTTAACAAATGTTTTCATTTAGCAACAGTTAGCAACATGGTTTCAGTTGTGGTTGTAAGATGAGGACTATCTGTGCTTCCCCAGCCTTCTGCTGTTACTAATCTGAAGCAAGAGTTGTAGTCTTCATAAAAAGAAACATTGCCATAGAAGTTTTGATAAAGCGTACAGAGAAATAAGGACTCCAAGGTTACTTCAGTTACCGCACATTCCTTCTGTGTGTCTTATCTGTTTTCCCTCATACTCATCCTGGTTCAAGGATACCTAGCACGAATCTCCATGGCCCTCTGTGAATTCAATAGACACCATGTCAAATCTTTCTGGGGCCTCTTCAGAAGGTCACCAAATTCTCATGTTTCATGGGACGGAAGTGAGTCATTATAAAACAGGTAAATTGCTTTCCCACTGTTTTCTGAACTCAAAGCTCAGGTTAATCTGAAATCATTGCCACGTTCACATGTTTCTGAATAATTTTGGCCCTAGTGACTCTCTGCTGCATCATTGCCTTTGGAATTCATTGCCGCAAGATCTGAGGATTGTTAAAGCTTGGATGGCTTTGAGAGATATGCAACCAAGGAAAACCTACATTGGATCTTAGTGGGACGGTGTGTTTTATTGTGTTCCCACCAACATCCTGACCCACCAACTCAGTTTAGCCTTGTTTATAGCAGCGTTTCTCAACCTCACAAACTTTTAAGATGGGTGGACTTCAACTCCCAGAATTCTGGAAGTTGGAAGTCCACCCATCTTAAAAGTGGATCTTTTGTGTTATGGAGAGGGAATTATTTTCACTGCTCTGTTTCTTCTTGATTTGTGCTTTCAGCTTGTTGGTAACCAGTGGGCCACCGGACAGCACACTGCAAGTTTGGCGAATCGAAGCAGATGAAACAGGTTTGCGTCCAAAAAACTACTCTACTTCCCAACTGGGTTTCAACTTTAGGATGGCCAGACCCCACTCACAGTTTGCAGGGATAAGGATGAAAAGTTTTCTCGCTCCCACAATTTAATTAGTTGCTCTTCTAAAGAAGACACCCTGAGTCCTTTTCCATAATGTAGATTCCTCAGAACTGTTAGCATAAACCAGTGTTAGAACCAGTCCACTCGAAAATGAGTGGACTTCAAGTCCCAGAATTCCCCAGCTAACTATGAGACACACTGGCACAAACAATGCTAATTCTGTGAATTTTGAAGGAATATCTGGGTTGGTGAAATTGAATGAAAGCTACCTTTCAAAAAAAAAACAAAACCCTTCCCGAAAGAAGTTTTACAGATTAACAGAGTTGGAAGGGACCTTGTAGATCATGTAGTCCAACCACCCCGTTCTCTTTTGATGACACAGAGGTTTGATGATGTTTGTACATTTCTGACATCTTTGCCATCCTTTGAAGACACACACACACAAAACAGAAATTGCTTTTCCTCTAACCTTCTTCTTATAATTCTTGACTTAGAGACAAAGGTGCAGCTCACCAGTGCTCAGAAGCTGGCACTTTTCTCTTCTTCTTTTTTAAAATAAATTTTATTTATATATTTTCTCTTTGTATACAATAAGTGCTTAGTGAACAGCGTACTGTCTGAGTCAGTTTGTTTACATAACTCCTAGTTTCTACCTCTATTATCTAACCATTGGTAAAAGAAATCCCAAATTCAAAAATATTCTGTGCCTTTTCTTTTATCTAAAGTGTTAGTCTATCCATTTCTTTACAGTCTAGTATTTTTTTAATTATTTCTTCTGTGGGTGTTTCCTCGTTTTTCCAGTATTGCACAAATACAATTCTTGCTGCTGTCAAAACATGTAAAATTATATATACATTCCCTTTATCATATTTCTCTGGTAATATCCCTAACAAAAATAATTCTGGTTTATAATCTGTATGCTGCCTTAACATTTTTTCTAACCACGTATGTATTTTCGTCCAAACTTTATTTGCTTTTGGACATGTCCACCACATGTGATAATATGTACCCGGAGTTCAATTACATTTCCAACATTTAGCGGACATGTTTTTAAACATTTTGGCTAATCTGGCCTGTGGTAAGTGCCACCTATAAAACATTTTGTACAGGTTTTCCTTATATGTAGTGCCAGAGGCTGGCACTTTTCTTGATGCTTTCAGCCAGGCACCCAGTAGAATACCCAGGAGAAAAAGGCTGAGCTACGATTTCTAAAAGGAGAGAATTTGGAGAAAAGCTATGCTTTGGAAACTACAGGCAGTTTTTAATTTACAACTGTTTGTTTAGCGACCATTCAAAGTTACAATGGCACTGAAAAAAGTGATCTACAACCACTCCTCGCAGTTATGACCGTCGCAGCATCCCCAAAGTCACGTGATCCAAATTTCGATGCTTGGCAGCCGGTGTGTATTTATAATAGTTTGTGGTGTCCCAGGGTAACGTGATTGCCATTTTGTGACTTTGCCAGACAGCTTCCGACAAATAAAGTCAATGGATTTGCTTAATGATCACGTGATTCGCTTAACAATTGCAGTGATTCGTTTAACAACCATTGCAAAAATTATGATAAAATTGAGCGTGTCTCACTGAACAACTACTTTACTGAACAAAGGAAGTTCAGATCCCAATTGTGTTCGTAAGTCGAGGACTACTTATAACGGAAATGAAGTCTTGTGGAAATTTTTATTTCTTCCTCTCCCCCACTCTAGATGTGATTAAGCTACTGAGTGTCATCTCTCCCACAAAGACAGAAGATACCTCCTGGTCCAAAATTGCAACCAGCTGTGCCAAACCGGCCTGCGTCCTCCACGGGCAAAGAATCTGCAATCTCCAAATGACGGAAATTGAATCGGAGAAAAGTCCTTGGGTGGCTGGTAGGCAGTTTGTTTGGAAACCCTCTTCAAAATCCTTGTAAGATTGTAAGCAGGATGGGAAGAGGAGTCTCTGAGAATGTTATGCAACTTCCTCAAACAGCGAGATTCGAAGATGTCGTCCAGGGCTGGTAGCTGGAGTCTGATGATATTCTGGGCAGTTTTAATGATTCTCTGTAGAGCTTTTCTGTCCGCTACAGAACTGCTCCCATACCATGCAAGAATGCCGTACGTCAGAACACTCTCAATGGTGCTGTGATAGTAGGACAGAAGTAGATGCTGAGATAGATTTATCTTCCTGAGCATTCTCAGGAAGTACAGCCTCTTCTGTGCCTTCTTCACAAGCATGTCAGCATTCATAGTCCATGAGAGGTCCTCCGAGATATAAATGCTTTTTTATCTCAAATTAAATTCAAGGAAACCGGAAGGGGATTTATAAATGTGTGATTTATAGATTTATTTATTTGATTCTTATCCCACCTTTATTACTTTATACATAACTCACGAGAACAAACTTTCTTTCTCCTATTTTCCCCACAACAATCCTTTGAGGTGGATTGGGCTGAGAGAGAGTGACTAGGCCAAAGTCATCCATCCGACTTTTTTGCCTAAGGCAGGACTAGAACCAGAGGGGGTATTTAGCCGGTTTGGACCAGTTTGCCCGAACTGGTAGCAGAATTGGGCCTACCCGCCCTGGCTCTATGCCATCCTACTTAGGCACGTTTCTGAAGTCGGGCATGCGCGGAAGGTGCGCGCACAAGCAAACCGCTTATGCGGAAGGCAGGCGCACGAACTGGGCACACACACGCACGAAGCGGGGCGAACCAGTAGTAACATAATGAGAAACGCTGACTAGAACTCAGAGTCTCCTGGTGATTGGCCCAAAGACATCCAGCCGGTTTTCTCACCTAATGTGGAACTTGAATTCACAGCCTCCTGGTGATTGCCCAAAAGTCACCCAGCTGGCTTTCATGCCTAAAGAGAGACTAGAACCCATAGTCTCCTCATGTTTGGCTCAAAGTTAGCTTTTTTGGGAAGGCATCATGTGAACTCCAGTTTCTCGTGGCAGAATTCTCTCCCACAACCCAACTCAATCCTTTCTTCTTTCCTCCTCCAGCCTCTGCCAGCCCTGATAAAATTGCCAGTCTGGACTTCTTGGATGAAGCCACCGCTGTGGTGTGTGGTGCCAAAGGGCAGCTGTTCCTTGTGGATTTCCGGCAACAGCAGGGGATTCTGGGAGCTCTCGAGGAGGCTCGGACCCCTTGGGCCCAGACAGAGGGGCTGAGCTGGTGTGCAGGAGTCGGTTCTAGAGAGACGCCACTGATTGCCCGTCTCTCCTCGGGTGGCCTCGTTGTGTTGACGGACATCAGACACCCTTCCAGCCCCCTGAAAGTGGCCCAATGCTGCGTTCCCATCCCTAATCTCTGCGGGACAGAGTTCCTGTCCATCAGCTTGGCTCCTGTACTAGCCGACAACCTGGCGGTGTCAGGTAAGCCGTGATGGTTCTTAACCTTTGCAATGCCGATTGCTGGCATCATCCTTATGGAGTTGCATCAGGGTGAAATTCAGCTGGTTCTATCCGGCTCAAATGAACTGGTAGCGGTGGCTGCAGGAGGCTCCGCCCACCTGCGTGGACATCATGATGTCGCTTTTTTGTGACATTTTAAGCCTCTGCGCATGTGCAGAAGGCTTTGTGCATGCGTGAACGACGGCGAACGCAAGCATTTGCGAACCGGTAGGGAAGGTAAGTGAATTTCACCCCTGAGCTGCAAGGGTGGTTGGTATGCAAAGGGTAAAAGGCCACCCCAAGGAGCAAACTATATGAAAATCAGGCACAATTTGCAGAGGGGCTCAGCTGGGTCATGTCACCTGTGGGTCACAACTTCCTTCCCCTATTGTCCCCATAAGAACAACCCTATGTGGTGGGTTGGACTGGGAGAGAGGGACTGGTCCAAGATCACCCAACTGGCTTTCATGCCTACAGTGGAACTATGATTCCCAGCCTCCTGGTAATTAGTCCAAAGTCCACCTGACTTTCGTGCCTAATGCAGAACTAGAAGTCACTGTCTCCTGGTTTCTAAGCCAGCACCTTAAGCCACGGGGGTCAAACTCGCGGCAACATGTTGCCATCACATGACGTTTCACGACGATTTTTCCGTTCGCGGAGCTGGGGTGGGTATGGCCTACGTATGATGCATCCGGCCCACAGGCCGCCATTTTAACACCTCTGCCTTAACCAATAGATCAAATGCTGCCTTCTCTTGCTTTTTTTCCATAACCCTCTGGGTTGGGACTTTGGGTTTAATAAAGAACCCATTTTTTCCACACTATTTTTCACTTATTTGCCACACCCAGCTTCAACCCACCTCTCTGTCTCTCTTGCACCCTTCCAATAAAGCATTTGACCCAGATTGCTGGGGGGCAATAGGCTGACTCTGTAAAACTCTTAGAGAGGGCTGTAAACCACTGTGATGTGGTATGTACCTTATTTTTCGGAGTATAAGACGCACTTTGCCCCCCAAAAAGAGGGTAAAAATTTGGGTGTGTCTTATACATAGAATGTAGCCCCGCCCACCAGTGGTGAAATACAATTTTTTTTTTCTGTGGGCATGGTTTGGTGGACGTGATATGGTTTGGTGTGTGTGGCTTGGTGGGCCTGGCAGGGGAAAGATACTGCAAAATCCCCATTCCCTCCCCACTCCTGGGGGAAGGATATTGCAAAACCTCCATTCCCACCCCACTCTGGGGCCAGCCAGAGGTGGTATTTGCCTGTTCTCCAAACTACTCAAAATTTCTACTACTGGTTCTCCAAATTGCTCAAAATTTCTGCTACCGGTTCTCCAGAACCTCCTGGATTTCACCCCTGCCGCCCACCCCCCCGCCCCCCCCCTTCTGCTCCGCGCCCTCTCAAACGGAGCTTTTGGTGGCTGCAAATGCAGCCTCTCAAACAGAGAGCCTCTCAAGCAGAATTTTTTTTTCTTCTTATTTTCCTCCCCCCAAAATAAGGTGCGTCTTATAGTTCGGATCGTCTTATACTCCGAAAAATACGGTAAGTCTAAGTGCTGTTGCTATTTACTTGCATTTCTCATTTCTTCAAGGTTTTGATGCGACCGTTCAGGTCTACAACACACAGGACTGGGACTCCTCAGGGCAGGAAGCCAAGCCGGTGTTTATTCACAAAGGACACATCTTCGGCACCCCAGGCAAGGATGGGGCCAGTCCGATGGTCACCACCCACACTTGGCACCCTTGGAAGCCCCAGACATTACTCTCGGCTGCAAGCGATGGATCGCTACACGTGTGGGACTGGTCTGACCCTCGAGCAAGCGAGCCAGTTTGACACCCTCCGGCCCCCCTCCCTTGGAGACTGTCCTCTGACATCCCCTGCAATCTCCACCCTTCATAGCACATCCTGGAGTCTCTGGATATAATGATATTTGTGAATAACCTTGGGAAACAGAAAGAAGAGCTGTAGACTAACCGACAGTCAGATAAGAGGTAGTTGAGCCTGCAGCAGGAATGAGGCTGTGCAAAGCATCTCAAAAGGGACCCTCTAGTTTCTTGGACTGTAAAAGCGAGGGGGGGGGGTTTCAGGGATGTTGTTATCTTGCAAGATGCTTTTAATGTAACCTAGAAAGAAAGAAAGAAAGAAAGAAAGAAAGAAAGAAAGAAAGAAAGAAAGAAAGAAAGAAAGAAAGAAAGAAAGAAAGAAAGAAAGAAAGAAAGAAAGAAGAAAGAGAAGGAAGGAAGAAAGAAAAAAAGAAAGAAGGAAAGAGAAGGAAGGAAGGAAGAAAAAAAGAAAGAAAGAAAGAGAAAGAAAGAAAGAAAGAAAGAAAGAAAGAAAAAGAAAGAAAGAAAGAAAGAAAATTTCTGGGTATGCCTCTTATTTGGAGTACCTTGCAAAGCTGACCTCAGTCTTTCAGGTCTAAAAGTACAACAATCCCTGTCCCACCCCTCTTTACAGTCCAAGAAATTAGGGAGGGTCAAAATAGATCAAGAGGGCTCAAAGAGGCCATCTATGTCAAAATTGAACAGCCTTCTTTTAACAGAGGGGGAGGGAAATGACATCATCTATCCAATCTACAACACAGTCCTTTCAACAGTTCCAAGAAGGCTTCACACCCATTTGCACCACTCAGGTGACCTTAGCAACTCGCTAAAAGGATGCAAATGACCAGCTGTCTGCCAGGAGTATAAATCCTTCCATTCCCCACCATCCAGTCAGAGCTGAAGAAGCTTCTTGGGTGAGAAGCGAAACATCTTCAAAGAAAAACCAAGGAAGTCCAGTTACCTGTTGGAAAAAAAAACACCTTTGGGACGTTTGAGATAGCTAAGATTCCCCAAACTTAACTGGTACTATAAGCAGATAGGTTCTCTTGCAAATGATTTCATCGAGTGAATTGGATCCTACGAGAATTGGGAAAACATGCTCCCTTTTGTGCATCTTCTCCTCTCACTTTGGAAAACTGTAGAACAGTGTTTCTCAACCTTGGAAGCTTGAAGATGGGTGGACTTCAACTCCCAGAATCCCCCTGCCACTGCTGCTGGCTGGGGGATTCTGGGAGTTGAAGTCCACCCATCTTCAAGCTTCCAAGGTTGAGAAACACTGCTGTAGAAGGAAAACACAATGTTTATTTTTGATTGTCTTTAATTAAGCAAAAGCCAAAAGAAGAAACAAGAACAATACAAAGAAAAAAGATAGGGCCAACAATGGAAAAAAGATCTATTTACATATATCTATGGATTATATGTTTCCAACCCTGGAGACCAAGACACAGAATCCATTTTTGCTGTCCACCAAATTCAATTATCAGGCATGCTCTTCTACTTGCATCCTAGGGAGTAAGTCAGGGAAGAGAGAGAGAGAATTTCATTTCTCAAAACGGTAAAAGGCCATCGTTTCTCTGTACAAGATACGGGGAGAAACGGTGCACAAGTCTGTCAATGCTCTGGTCACTCAGGAGCACCACAAGTGTCTCAGAGATGAACAACGGATTAAAAAAGTGAGTGTATGCCAAGACAAGGCCAAGGATTAGACAGCAGCCAAACAGCAACATCATCAGAATTTTGGCGGCCACCCATAACCAATGCAGAAAACTTCCTTTCCTTTGACCCGTCCCGGGCCACTCCCACCAGCCTGGCTTCCACAAGTTCATGCATCAGGATGCCCGTTGGCACCTGGTTCTCCTGGTCCAGCCGCATAAACGTGGCCTGCTGCACGCAGAGATCCTGTTGGTTCTGCAGGTCTTTGATGCGGTTCCTCAGGTGTTCTCTGGCTCTCTGAATAGCCGTGACTTTCTCCTTCAGTTGGCCGGATTGGGTTTTCTCCACGCGGTAGTTGTGCTCCATCTCGGACAGTTTATCCTCCAGGTTACGCAGGTACTTGTGAACCTCCGACGGAAGGTTCCGCATCTCCTTGAGGTCATTCTCGTGGGTAGGTTTGTCGTTTTTGAAGACGGCCGCTTGGCTGGTGACCTCGTGCATTTCCTGGTTGAGGTCGTTGTTGGCTTTCACCAAAGACTTGTTCTGCAGCGCTAATTCATGGATCGCCATGTTGACCTGATCCAAACTTTCTCTGATGTCCTCCACAGTTTTCTGCAGGTGTTCCATGGAGGACTTAAGGTGATTCACTGTCTCCCGAAGACACTTATGCTGCTCTTTAATGTATTCCTTGTCTCGGAGAAACTCCTGGTTCTCGGAGTCCAAGCTGGCTATGTTCTCTCTCAGCTCCTCTACCTGGAGACGGAGATTCCTATTGTTTGCCGAGAGATCCTCCAATGACATTGTCTGCTTTTTCTGATCTTGCCCCTTTTAAAATAAATACTAAATAAAATAATTTTGGAGTCGCTTTTCTTCCGATCCAGGTATTTTGAACTGGGTCTTGCGGTGCTGCTGTCCAACAGAATCAACAGTGCTAGAAATGTTGACATTTGCCATGGCAACCTCCAGCCAATGAGGTTAGGAGAAGCCCATGATGTCATTAAGAATGGCTGCTTTGGCTTCGACGTGGAGTTTGGAAAAAAACAACAACAGTCATCCTACACATCAGGGCCCAGCCCTTTAATTCATTAGTAAATTATTAAACAGGTTTTTGCAAGTGAGACATGCATTAACTTCAACCAAATCTAGTCCATCTGAATCGCTTTCTGTAGGCTTTGTTACAAGCCGGCTCTATCATGCTAACTGAGGAATTCTGGGAATTGGAGTCCACAGGTTGTAAAGGGGCCATAGTTGCCCATCTCTGACCTAGACAAACCCTTAAAGATAGCTGGCTCAGGAATAGTCCTACACATCCAATACCAACCATCTTTAGATGGTTTCTATAGATCAGGGGTAAGCAACTATGGTCCTTTATGGCCTGTGGACTTCAACTCCCAGAATTCCTAGACCAGTATGGCAGTTGAATTCAATTCTGGGAGTTGAAGTCCACAGGTTGTAAAGGGGCCATAGTTGCCCACCTCTGACCTAGACAAACCCCTAAAGATGCTGGCTCAGGAATAGTCCTACACATCCAATACCAACCATCTTTAGATGGTTTCTATAGATCAGGGTAAGCAACTATGGTCCTTTTATGGCCTGTGGACTTCAACTTCCAGAATTCCTAGACCAGTATGGCAGTTGAATCAATTCTGGGAATTGAAGTCCACAGGTCGTAAAGGGGACCATAGTTTTCCACTCTGGGTCTAGGTTGTAAGTCGTCAAGTCGAAATACGAGTCACATTTCCAACAAAAAGTTGCCTTTGACATACACAAGAAACATTATCTGTATCGAGAAAAGAAATAAGGGCCCAGATATCCGTCTGTTTCAAGGACAGTTTGGTGTTGGAAGGACAATATACAGCAAAAAATATAGTCCAGCATACTGTCAGCTGCAAATTTGGAGGATAAAGCTGCAAGGTTGGAAGATATATTACGAAGAAAATTATCCTTCTAACATAATTGGTGATCTTGGTGTAAAAAACAAAACAAAAAATAAACCAGGCCCAGTTGAGGTCTCTGAAAGGCACAAGAGATGCTCCTTACAACAGTATAGTTTGTGGTAAGAGTCTTAGGCGGGGCTTAAATCATAGTTCTTTGTTTTCTGTGTGAGGGAAAAAAAAAGAATTTAAGAGTCAATGAATAAAACAAGTAACTCTATTGACCTATAGGGGATCGTCTGAGACAAGAGTGTCAGGTGTAAATTCAACAGCAGGACTTCAGACAGTTGTAGGTCAGAGATGGTATTCAGCAGGTTCTGGCCAGTTCTGGAGAACCGGTAGAGGAAATTTTGAGTAGTTCGGAGAACCAGTAAATACGACCTCTGACTAGCCCTTCCCCCATCTATTCTCTGCCTCCCAAGTCCCAGCTGATGGGGAGGAAATGGGGATTTTGCAGTAATCTTCCCCTGGAGTGGGGAGGGAATTGAGATTTTACAGTGTCCTTCCCCTGCCATGCCCACCAAGCCATGCCACGCCCACCAAGCCACACCCTCAGAACCAGTAGTAAAATATTTTGAATCCCACCACTGTTGTAGGTGTCACTCTCAAATAGCACAGTCTAGAGAGAAAGTCCTCTATAACACACAATGACCTGAAAAGAATGGAATAGAGCAGAATGAATGAGCTGGAAGGGACCTTGGAGGTCTTCTAGTCCAGCCCACTGCTTGTAGGAAGTTAGCACCCACATCTCTCCTAGAAGAATGAAATATTTTAGGAAATATTAAAAAGGCAGAATATTATATTTCCTATATGAGAAATGGAGAAACATGTTTTAAAGACAAAGCAGCTTCCTGCCTCCTTCCCCCCACCTTTGTCAATGGGCCATTAAGGCTTCAGCCAAGCTCACTCATTCCCCCCCACCTTTGTCAATGGACCATCATCAGCAACACAATAGGACCCATCTAGCAACAGAAACTCCCCACATGGCACCTGGGAAGATTACATCAGCCAGCAAGGCTAGCTAAGACCCCCACCCCCCTGGAAGTCTGATAACCAATCAGGATACCCTTCCTGGGCCCCAGGAAGTTCAAAGCTCAGCGAGAGTATAAAACCCAGGGAGTCGCAGCATCTCTGCCCTTTTTCTGTTCAGGAACTCAAACCATGTGATCCTGCCCACCATTAAACCATCTTTCCAAGCAGTCTCCATGTTTCCAGTGTCTTTTTCCTCACTTGGAGCTGAACCCAGAAGGATATTTCTTCCAACATGCTCAAGCAGGAGAGCCTATACTATTTCACATAAGAAAAAGTAGACAGAGAGATTGAAATACAAACGTCTAGCCAGCCACAAGGACCAAGTGACTGGCTAGAAGTAGCTTCTACTAGACCCAAGGCTGAACAGTCGCAATCCATGTCAGGTGGATCTGCTGCAGCCTTCAGAATGGAAGACAGGTAGTCCTCCACTTACAACAGTTCATTTAGTGACCGTTCAAAGTTACAACAGCACTGAAAAAAGTGACATGACCGTTTTTCACAGTTACCTTTGTAGCATCCCCTACATGATCACGGGATCGAAATTTAGATGTTTGGCACCCGGTTCATATTTATCCCAGGGTTGCAGTATCCTGGGGCCATGTATTTCCTTTTGCAACCTTTTGACAAGCAAAGGCAACGGGGAAGCCAGATTCACTTAACAAGCATGTGACTAACTTATCAACTGCAGTGATTCACTTAGCAACCATGGCAAGAAAGGTCGTAAAATGGGGCAAAACTCACTTAACCGATGTCTCACTTAACAACAGAAATTTTGGGCCCAATTGTGATCATAATTCAAGGACTACCTGTAGTGAATCTAGGATCTAATTCCTCGAACTTTCTACACGGGAGAGTAGTATTTGAAGAAGGTCTATACTTTTACATACACCCAAACTGATCCAATCCAACAAGTGCAGTTTCTTGCAAATATTTAACAAGCAAAAAAAAAAAAAAGAAGAAAAGAAATCACAGCAGAGAACCATTCCACACAAGCGCACCTAACATAATTTGCAATTTGAAGCGGATCAGAAACTCAGTCAGGAAAAAAAAACTGGGAAAAGAAAAGGAAAAAAATCCATTATGGCTGGATACAATCTCATTTTTTTAAAGAAAAAACAGATCTAACTTTCTCCACTTCATATAAAGAAATACCATATTTTTCGGAGTATAAGTCGCTCCGGAGTATAAGACGCACCTTAGTTTTTGGGGAGGAAAATAGGGGGGTGGGGAAATTCTGCCTCTGACCTTAGCCGGGTCAGCTTCAGCACATTAGTTCACTGGTTGTGAGTGCGTGCGTGCGTGCTCCTCGTTGGGGCTGATAAGCAGCTTCAGAAGGACAGCTGATTGTCGTAGGGAGCCCCATTGAGTCAAGCAGGCAAAGCACAGAAGCGGTAAGACAAGGCAGCAGCTGTTCTGGGTTGCCATTTTGGGTTGTGTGCCTCATGTTTTCAGCCTCCAAATGCTCTGTTTGAGAGCCATTCAAGGTTGTGGGGATTGCCAAAGCCCATTGCTGTTGATATCCAAAAACGTGATGTGCAGAGGCCAAAAATGGGATGTGCGGGGGCCTAAAACGTGATGCATAGAGGCTGAAAACGCAATGTGCAGAGGTGACGATGTGCTTTGGCGATCCCCGCAGCCTGGAACGGCTCTCAAACGGAGCGTTTGGAGGCTGAAAACGCAAGCCATTGTCTGTGGCAATCTCTGCAGCCAGGAAGAGGATGCGGCGAGGCCAAAGGGTGGGGGTCAGCGGGTAGGTGGGGCTACATTTGGAGTATAAGACGCACCCAAATTTTCAGCCTCTTTTTTTGGGGGGTGGGGGAAGTGCGTCTTATACTCCAAAAAATACGGTATATTGGTGGATGAATTTGGAGCAGCCAACTCAGCAGCAAAAGAATGATCCTTATCTAATATTTAAAGACTCGAGAGATTGTTTTGTCTAGGGAGGACACAACTGTCTTTATCACAAGGTCACAGTTCTACTTCCTGGTTTGTACAAGGCTAGGGAGCATTCTGTAAGACTCTTCTGAACGGCTAGCATCGCTTGCTCGCTCCCCGGATCCATTTTCAATCCATTCTTGAGATTTTATGAAAAATGGCATTGAATATCAGTGGCTTAGTAGCTCTGCTTTTATTCTATGCCCTGACTTTAGCTATTGGAATATGGGCTTCTCAGAAAACCAGACAGAAGGAACATCAGAAGCCCAGTGAAGTAGCCATGGTGGGACGCAGGAACATGAATTTTTGCATTGGGTTGTTCACGGCAACTGGTAAGTACGAAGGCTTCAGAATGATAAATAGCATCCTTTACTCTAATTCTTATTTTGGACTGGGGTGATATGATAGCAAGTGTTATATAGATATAAGGGGCTGAAACAAAGAAGAGTAGAGTAGAGTAGAGTAGAGTAGAGTAGAGTAGAGTAGAGTAGAGTAGAGTAGAGTAGAGTAGAGTAGAATAGAATAATTTTATTAGCTAAGTGTGATTGGACACACAAGGAATTTGTCTTTGGTGCATATGCTCTCAGTGTACATAAAAAGAAGGGGTCATTATTCCCTGAAGCACTTGAAGGCAGGACAAGAAGCAGTGGATGGTAACTAATCAGGGAGAAAACCTGAAAAATAAGGAGTAATTTCCTGACGGTGAGAATAATTAACTAGAGGAACAGCTTGCTTTTAGAAACTGTGGGTGCTCCAACACTGGAAGTTTTTAAGAAGAGGTTGGACAACCATTTGTCTGAAATGATATAGGCTTTCCTGCTTGAGCAGGGGGTTGGACTAGAAGACCTCCGAGGTCCCTTCCAACTCTGTTATTCTGTTATTCTCTTACAGTGAATGCAGGACTGGTGTGCCAATAGGAAATGATCTACAGCAGCTTTAGTCAAAATCTGGGGATTGGGACCAACATGCTTTTAATCATGAGTGATCTGATCCTCCCCAGCTGACTAAGAACATCCCAACTTAATAACTGCAGTGATTCACTTAACAACTTACCTCGCTCAGCAACAAAACTTTGGGACTTTGGTTGTAAGTCAAGGACTGCCTGTAATTATCCCTGTATCTTTTATTAACTTCATTTTCCCTTTCCTCGGTTTCTTTCAGCAACATGGGTTGGAGGAGCTTATATCAATGGCACGGCTGAAATTGCCTACCACCCTTCAAAAGGACTGGTGTGGGTTCAAGCTCCGGTTGGCTTTGCTTTGTCTCTCCTTGTTGGTAATGATTTTACCGTAAAAGATTCTTAAGCTAAGGGGTGGGGTGGGGGACAAATGAAGAGACACTAGAATCAAAATCACGTGAGGTACTAATAAGGTAAAGGTTCCCCTCGCAGATATGTGCTAGTCGTTCCCGACTCTAGGGGGCGGTGCTCATCTCTGTTTCAAAGCCAAAGAGCCAGTGCTGTCCAAAGACGTCCGGCATGACTAAAAGCCAAAGGCGCACGGAACGCTGTTACCTTCCCACCAAAGATGGTCCCTATTTTTCTACTTGCATTTTTTAACGTGCTTTCAAACTGCTAGGTTGGCAGAAGCTGAGACAAGTAACGGGAGCTCACCCCGTTACACGGCACTAGGGATTCGAACTGCTGAACTGCTGAACTGCCGACCGTTCAATTGACAAGCCCAATGTCTTAGCCACTGAGCCACTATGAGGTATCCCTATGAGGTACTAATATCACTCTATAAAGACTTAGTAAGACCACACCTAGAATTCTGCATCCAGAACCATCCACCACACTGTAAAAAAACAAAAGATGTAGAGACACTAGAACGAGTGCAGAGAAGAGCATCCAAGATGATTAAGGGACTGGAGGCTAAAACATATGAAGAACGGTAACAGGAACTGGGCATGGCTAGTCTAGTGAAGAGAAGGATCAGGGGAGACATGATAGCAGTCTTCCAATATTTGAGGGGCTGCCAGAGAGAGGAAGTGGTCAAGCTATTTTCCAAAGCACCTGAAGGCCAGACAAGAAATAATGGATGGAAGCTGATCAAGGAGAGATTCAACCTAGAAATAAGGATAAATTTTCTGATAGTGAGAACAATCAACCAATGGAACAGCTTTGTCTTCAGAAGTTGTGGGAGCTTTATCACTGGAAGCTTTCAAGAAGAGACTGGACTGCCATCTGTCAGAAATGATGTAGAGGCTCCTGCTTGGGTGAAGGGTTAGACTAAATGACCTACATGGTACCTTCCACTTCTGTTGTTCTGTTCTGTTGAAAGTACTTAAATATCTCTCCATGTTTAATTTTACCTCAAGTTATCTACTCCAGTTTGTGCATTTGTCAATGATCAGAAGCAAAATTTCATTCGGTTGGAAAGTACACGAGCGGCTTCCATCCTTAGCTCAGAATGATAGAATATCTCAATAAAGGAGAATATTTGTATCTCAGAGTTGAAATGAGGAGTCTTCGGTGCTCTTTGAGCTTGGTTGTTTTCTTGTGGACATTTTATTACCCGAACTAGGGAACATCATCAGTGCTAGTACAGAATGGGGTTTGTTGTCAATTTACTGTATATTCTAGTGACCTACCCTGCCAATGTGGGGGAATTCTTTGGTTGGGCTGTTTACTATTAGCTTGTTTGGCAGTTCCTTGATTAATTGATTGACTCTTTTGTTAATAAATAAGACTTCTTATGGAATAAGAGGGAACCTGGGGTACACTCAACCTGTCAAATCGGATGAGATGAACAGAAATACTTGGGGAGTGATGACCCAGCAGGAAATCTGAACTTGTCCCTTGCAAGATAATAATCACCATCTTGTACTGCAAAAAAAGGGGTGCAGCGGCCTAATGCTTAAGATACTCAGCTGTCAATCAGAAGGCTGGCAGTTTGAGACCCAAGTACATGCAATGGGGTGAGCTCCCATCCTTGCCCCAGCTCTTGCCAACCTATTAGTTTGAAAACATGCAAATGCAAGTAGATAAATAGGTACCACTTTAGTGGGAAGGTAACAGTGTTCCGTGCGCCTCGGTGTATAGTCATGCTGATCACATGACCACGGAAATGTCTTGGGACAATGCTGGGTCCCTCAGCTAGGAAACGGAGATGATTACTGCCCTCTAGAGTTGGATACAACTGGATAGAGCAGGGGTCTGCAACCTTAAACACTCAAAGAACCATTTGGACCCGTTTCCCACAGAAAAGAAAACACTGGGAGGCACAAAACCCTTTCCGTGCCTAACTATTTCTTGAGCGGCCACAACACTAACATATATAGTTGAATTAAACATTCAGTTTTCTTCTGAAACTGTTCTTTTTTTGGATTTATCAATGGTTGGCCTAACGGGGGTTAAAAAGCTCAATAAATCGTGTGCTGGCGGGTGTAGCACATTGGCGGTTGTGATGCAAATTTTGAGTGACAGGGAGTTGCAGCAGAGGGGTGAAAGAGCCACATGCAGCTCCAGAGCCGCAGGTGCTGACCCCTGGGATAGAGGAAACATTTACCTTTACCTGAACTATGAAGCATTATGATTCCTTTCATTTCATTAAGATAACTGATTGTAATCAACTTTTTTTTTAAAACAGGAGGGTTCTTCTTTGTCAAGCCAATGAGAATGAGAAATTACGTGACTCTGATGGATCCAATCCAAGAGATGTATGGGAATGCGATGGGCTGTCTACTTTTTATTCCTCCATTGATTGCGGACATATTCTGGTTTGCTGCTGTTCTTGCTTCTTTAGGTAATATTTGTGTCTTTCACCTGTCTTGGCAGAAACTAAATTTAGCCACCTGGAAACCAAGGGAAGACAGCTGAGATTAGCTTTCCATGCTATGAATGATTTATTGATTAGTAAAGGCATGTTCAGAATAACTACTTTAACTGTCATCCTCTTTTAACTACCCCATAATCCCTTGCAGGGCGGAGTCTGGGCAATTGAATGGACCTAGCAGAGTGTTTTAATGGCCAGATGCCCTTCCTGTCACCAATCCTGAGTTTTGTTCAGTTGATATATTCTCAGTGTGCCCAGAGAGAGAAATATCTGCTTCTACCTAGGATCGAACTCACAGCCTCCTGATTGTGAGGCGAGAGCTCCACCTCTAGGCCTCCACACCACTCCAATAACTACTTTAACTGTGAACTGAGGATATTTGTAGCTCCAATCTCCATCTGCTTCACATTTCTGAAGTCTGGTATATAAACAGGAGATGAGGAGATGATGAAAGGATTTCCTTTAAATAATTTAGAAACACCACAGAAATCTGTAATTCAAATTTAGAGGGGAAGTGAAAGCACTTTTACATATACAGAAAGTAGAATATCAGAAGTTTTAAAAGTACTTTATTTCCAATACTAATATTTTAGAGGAATATTTAGTTACACTGAAATTCCTCCCTGCAGTCTTGAGTGAAAGAATAGTTTTGAATAGCATACTTGCCGTTTTGTATAAAGTATGAATATGCATTCGAATATTTCATCTAAATTCGCTCATTATGACAACCGTTTTAGGAACGGAGATCATAGAACCGTGATGGCGAACCGAAGGCCATCTTGTGGGCACATGAGCATTGCCTTAGCTCAGCTCCAGCTCGCAGGCATGTGCCAGCCAGCTGATTTTAGGGCCTTCCGAGCTCACCGGAAGTCAGGCAACAGGCCGTTTCCAGCCTCCGGAGGGCCTCTGAGGAGGTGGGGAAGGCGGTTTTCACCCTCCCCAGGCTCCAAGAAAGTCTCTGGAGCCTGGGGAGGGCAAAAAACGGGCCTACTGGGCCCACCATAACATCACGTGCCAAAAGCGGGGGGAGCTTGGGGGGGTCATGCATGCATGCATGCATGGGGGAGTCACGTACACACGTGCAAGGGGCAGGCCGCATTAAATTATGGGTGTGGGCATGCGCGTGCGACCCCCCCCCGCCCCCCCCCCCCCACTTTTGGCACGTGACGGCAAAAAGGTTAGCCATCCCTGTCATAGAATATGATGTCCATTTAACCTATGAAAATAGAATTGATGTGTGACTCTCTGACACCAGAGATTCATAATTCATAGATAAAACCTGGTCCCCTCCTAATGGGTCAGCTTCACCTTCCAGAATTTCAGTGGAATGGCCAAAGAGTGATAATCCTAGGAATAGAATTTTTATAACAATGACTATGCTTTTGTTACAAATGGAAGTTATTTTGTATATCGTATAAAGGTAGTCCTCGATTTACAACAGTTCATTTAGTGATTGTTCAAAGTTATGACAGCACTGCAAAAAGTGACTTACATGACCATTTTTCATAGTTATGACTGTTGCAGCATCCTCAAGGTCATCTGATCAAAATTTGGCAGCTTGGCAACTGGCATGTATTTATGACTGTTGCATTACCTCGGGGTCATGTGATCAACTTTTGCAACCTTCTGACAAGTCAAGTCAATGGGGAAGCCAGATTCAATTAACAACCATGTTACTAACTGAATTGCAGTGATTTACTTAACAATTGCAGCAAGGTTTGTAAAATGGGGGGGGGGGATTCACTTAATAACTGTCTCACTTAGCTACAGAAATTTTGGGTTCAATTCAGTGGTGGGTTTCAAAATTTTTTACTACTGGTTCTGTAGGTGTGGCTAGGTGGGCATGGCATGGCTTGGTGGGCGTGGCTTGGTAGACCTGGCAGGGGAAGGATACTGTAAAATCTCCATTCCCACCCCACTCTGGGGGAAGGTTACTGCAAAATCCACATTTCCCCCCGATCAGCTGGGACTTGGGAGGCAGAGAATAGATGGGGGCGGGGCCAGTCAGAATTTTTACTACCAGTTCTCCTAACTACTCAAAATTTTCACTGCCGGTTCTCCAGAACTGGTCAGAAGCTGCTGAAACCAACCTCTGGTTCAATTGTGGTTTGTAAGTCAAGGACTACCTGTAAATTAATATATTTGGGTATGAGAAATAGCATTGCGCAAAATGTATTACTGCATTTCAGTAGTAATTACTGCATCTTTTCCTAGAAGCAACCATGAAGGTCATTTTGGACATCCAGGGTTATGTTGCCATCATTCTTTCTGCATGTACGGTGATATTGTATACTTTGCTAGGAGGTTTGTATTCAGTGGCCTATACAGATGTGATACAATTGATCTTTATATCCCTCAGTCTGGTAAGTTCCTATCTTGTTATATTACCACACACTTGGGACTGATTAAAAATCCAGAAAGAAACACCAGCACACTTTCATTGATTATGACAGGATTTGTCAATCCTGACAACTTTAAAATACAATATATGGACTTCAGCTCCCAGAATTCCCCAGCTAACATGCTGGCTGGGGAATTCTAGAAGTCACATAGCTTACTGTTGCCATGGTTGAGAAGCACCGATCTCTGAGATCCCAATAGATTACAAACTTTAGGGCATGCTTTTCAAGGAATTGGGAGATAATCTGAACCAATAAAGAAGAATATTTATAGCTCGGGGTTGAAATGAGGTGTCCTTGGTACTCTCTGAGCTTGTTTTTTTTTTTCTTTCTTGCAGATGTTTCATTACCCAAACTATGCTCCTGAGGATGTTGCCAAGTTTGGATAATGAAGCATCAGTAAGAAAAAAGCTCAGAAACCAAGGATAATCTGAATCAGTGGTGAGATTCAAATAGTTTAACAACTGGTTCTCTGCCCTAATGACCAGCTGGATGGGTGTGGCCATGGTGGGCGTGGCCAGGGGGGTCTGACAGGTAGCACTCAACCTCCTGCACTCCCCTTGGGAGCAAAAACGGGCTGCGGGGGGGCCACGCTGCATCCCCTCGTGCCCCGTTTTGGGCCTAGTAGGCCTCCTTGCAGCCTTCTGGGAGTGAAAACGGACCATGGGGGGGCACCGCACCCCCTGCACCCTCTTTTAGGCCTAGTAGTCCTTCCTGCAGTCTCCTGGGAGTCAAAATGGGGTGCATGGGCACTCCTGGAAGGGGTGGGGCGGAAAGGGGCAGGAAGGGGCCAGCCAGCAATTTAACTACCGGTTCGCCCAAATTGGCCCAAACTGGCTGAATCCCACCACTGATCTGAACATTCAACAGCCTGAACCCCATAGAAGACAATAGAGCACTATACATTGAAAATGGACACTACATGAATAAAACAGTGAAGTAGCCATGATACATTCAGAGTTGAGACAGGATCTAATTTAAGTGGGAGGGCCAAGTACAAAGAAGTAGGTGGAGTCATAACACAGAAGTGGGTGGGACTAAGACACGAAAGCGGCAAGTGATGTAGTTTCAATTCATTTACATTTTTAAAATTAATTCAGTATCGTGATTGTAGAAGCACACGGCATATTTTGATGACCAGAAATCCTTCAGAAAACATGTTAATCCTAATGTTTCTGGGTTTTTTTTGCCACCAGTGGATTTGTATCCCTTTTGCCATCATGAACCCTGCTACAGAAAACATTTTTTATACAGCTACCCACAATATATCCCAAGCCCCTTGGACAGGAACAATAGAACCAGAGTTTTATGGAAGATGGTTTGATGATTTCTTATATTTGGTAAGATCTATTCTTGGAGAGGATGGGAAATTGGGGGCTTGGTGCACTTTCTGTATCCAACGACAATAATAAAAATAATGGTTCTTCTAAATTAAGGGCAAGATATGTTCTTTTCACCACAAAGAACATGATTGATTGATTGATAGAAAAGATATGTGGGGTATGTTGCTGATATGGTAAATTCACTCCAGAAAGAAGTGATTAAAACTAAATAGTAGTGTAATATAGGCAGCATGCCTTAGGTCCAGGTGGCACACGGAGCCATATTGGTGGGCACACGAGCATTGCCCTAGCACAGCTCTGGTGCGGATGCATGCGCCGGCCAGCTGATTTTCGGGCCTTCCAGGCCCATCAGAAATCGGGAAACAGGCTGTTTCCGGCCTCCGGAAGGCCTTCAGGGGGTGGGGAAGCCCGTTTTTCATCCTCCCCAGGCTCCAAGAAAGCCTCTGGAGGCTGGGGAGGGCGGAAAATGGGCCTACCAGGCCCACTGTGCCATCGCGTGCCAAAAGTGGGGGTCGCGTGGGGGGGGAGATCGTGCGTGCATGCGCGGGGGTGTGTGGCACATTGAATTATGGTTGTGGGCCCGCTCGTGCGTGACCCCCCCCGTGCTCCCCCTGCTTTTGGCACACGACGGCAAAAAGGTTCGCCATAACTGCCCTAGGTAGTGTTGTAGCCCCCTAGCGGCCAGTGGAGCTGGCAGCAGATTCAGGCAGTGAGGAGGTTGGGGAGGAAGGTGGGCCAGTGCTGGTTTTGGCTCTGATGAGGGCGCTGCGTTGGAGGCAGAGAGGGGACCAGGGCCGTATGCCAGTTATCAGCCACCTTCAGAGTCAGACATCAGTGAGGCAGACGACCAGCTGAAACCTGTTCCCAGTGTGCGCATGCACCGAGTTGCCAGATGAAGGGAACAGCTAAAGAACAAGGATCGACTTGGGAGTAAGGCCACAGGTAGACGATGAATGGCCCCTCCCAGAGGGAATAAAAGAGGAGCAAAAGGGGAATGGAATTTGCAGGACACAATTAGTTCACTTAATTGGTTAATGGCTCCTTGCCAAGTTTTGAAAATACCCGCCTGACAGCTCTCCAAGCCAGATAAGTCTGTGACTGTAAACTTTCCCTTGAAAGACTTTGCTGGATGTGAATGAGAGGAATTCACAGTAACTTAATAAAAAGGGGTTTTTCTCGGGACAAGGAGTCTGCTCCATGCTCTTGGGAAGCCTAGGTCAGAACAGGTAGTTGCAAAATGGAAAGGGAGATACACATGCAACCCCTTCTCTTCTAGGTGGCTGGAAAACTGCTTTTCCACAGGACATTAAGAAAAATACACTTCTACATTAAAGACGAAATGCAATTAATAATGTCAGGTCTGACATAATGCGCATCAGGCTGGGATGATAACCTAAGGTGACAGATGTTGGAAGGCCATTTCTTTGGTTTAAGGAAGGCAAATGGAGACCAGAAATTCTAGAATGATCCAGAGAGAAAGCTATGGAGATGCTCCATGAGTTGTCCATCATGCCTTATGTTAAATTATGTCCCCAGAGTCATTCCCATTCTTAGGTTAAAGGCAACCTGGTTTAAACTTAAATTTTGACTTTTTGGCTAAGATCAAGCCAACAGTCCTATCTTGTTTTTATTTCAGTTCAGTTCAAGATTCTCCTTTCCTTCCAGGTGCTTGGGGCCATCCCATGGCAAACCTATTTCCAGCGAGTTCTCGCAGTTTCCTCCCACAAAGAAGCCAGATTAATTTCCTATTTTTCTGGACTGGGCTGCTTCATCATGGCTATCCCTTCTGTATTGATAGGAGCAGTTGCTGCCTCCACAGGTAATCATGGCTGAACAAGAACTGGAAAGCTAGAGCCACAATTTGGGTGGTTCAGTCCAGGGGTGGGTTCTAAATTTTTTTACTGCCGGTTCTGTGGGTGTGGCTTGTTTTGTGGGTGTGGCTTGGAGGTCATGTGACTAGGTGGGCGTGGCTAGCTGGTCAGAGTCATTTCTGGAAGGTCCTCGCACTTATGACCAAGTCCTCTCACTTACGACCCGACTCATTTATTTGCTTTTAACACTGATCAGCTGTAGGACGGCCCTTTGAAGCCCCGCGGCAAGAGTTTAAACAGTTTTTTTCCCTCTAGTCATCCGCTGGGACTCAGGAGGCAGCAATAGATTGGGGGTGGGACCAAATAAAAGGTAAGAATAACGTGGGTGGGGAGGGTGGGAGGGCGGGGGGGGAGAACCGGTTCGGTGACGTCATATCGTCACCGCTACCGGCTCGGCCGAACCGGACCAAACCAGGAGGAACCCACCACTGGTTCAGTCTTAGTAATGTTGTTGCCATACTATGGGAGGGTCATTCCTCTATGTCGGTGTTTCTCGACCTCAGCAATTTTAAGATGTGTGAACTTCAACTCCCAGAATTTTCCAGAATTCTTCCCCTATTCTTGGAGTTGAAATCTTTACATCTTAAAGTTGCTGAGATTAAGAAACACTGTTTTGAATAAATGTTGAATAAACTCTTATAAACTACATCTACCGGTAGTCTAGATTGCGGGTGCGGCCACCCACCCGCCCTGGCTCTATGCCGTCCTATTTAGGCACGGTTTTGAGGCTGGGTGCATGCATGGAAGACGTGCGGATAAGCAAAGCACATGCACGGAAGGCCAAGCCCATGAGTGGAAGGTGCGCGCACGGGGGGCGAACCAGTAGCAACAAAATGTGAAACCCACTGCTTGAGCCCTGGTATAAAAATAATTATTAATACAAAACAGTATTACATACCGTATAAAGGAATATGAAGCTGGCTTTGAGGAAGCTAAAAATACTTTTATTACTTGGCATTAGTTTTTTTTTTCTTTGTATTTTTAAATCTCAGTTTAAAAAAACAGGATCAAGAACATAGAATCTCTGAGAGAACTAGCCTACTGATTACTCCTCTGGTCAACTCAGAACATTTTTTGATTTTTTTTAAAAAATTAATCTTGCTTTGCCATTGCTTTCACTAATGAAAAAAGTGGGGAAGAAATTACACACACCTCACATGTGCAAATCCCACATTTCAAAAAGGTTTCCAGCTTCTTTGATGCAGCTTTGTTTGATATGGTGCATGAGTAGTAATATCTCATGCGAAAATGCTGGTGTGTCATCAAGGGTGGGCTTCAAACATTTTAGCAAGGGGTTCTCTGCCTGGTTGCTGGGTGGGCGTGGCCATGGTGGGTGTGGCCTAGTCGGCCTCCTGCACCATGGTGGATGGGGCGTTTTTGCCCTCCCTGGGCTCCAGAGCTTTCCTCAAGCCTCTGGGAGGGAGAAAACAACCTCCCCAGGCTCCGGAGGCCCTCCGGAGGCCAGAAACAAACTTCCGGTTGTCAGGGTGGCAATTAATCTCATTCTGCTTTTGGGTAATTGCACCTTGATTAGAGAATGGATCGTGACCTTTCCTTGAAGTATACTTTAAGAAAATAAACCTGAAGATATGTTTTCTAAGAAAAACTCATTTATTTGTTATAAAGAAAATAAAACATCTTACTAGCTAATTAGTTACATCTTGGCAAAGCTTTCCCGGCCACCTCTCCTGGCCGGAGAACAAAGGAAGTTAGAAGAAAGTGAAAGAATGTGGACATGCGCAGTTAGTTTAGAGATAAGAACTTGGCAAGCTACGGTAAGTCTGAAAGTTCAAAAATAAGAGCTCATCTGGTAAATACAAAAACGCAGTGACACCGGTAGGCCCATTTTTCACCCTCCCCAAGCCTCCACGCGCACCCTGCACTTACCTGCATCCAAAACAGGCCGCCTGGGGACTCCTGGGAGGGGTGGGATGGGCGAGGCAGCCAGGAGTTGGATTTGGGGGTCTCCAAACTGCACAGAATCTTAACTAGAGGTTCTCCCAAAACCCTGTGAATCCCCAGCACCCCACCTCTGTGTGTAATCAAATTTTAGCATTCTTGAAAGAATCTACATGCTCAAAGGTACAATTTCATGTTATCTGGTGATCCTGTGAACTGTCTATCATTTTGTAAAAATAATTTTGGGAAGATGCTTAAGCCACCATGCATGTGGTCTTAGATAGCTGCCCAGAAACCTGCTCAATGTGTATATAATATTTCACAAAATATATTTAAAGCAGCATATAAGAAATATATTAAATATTAAAACTACTATACCTCAATCAATAAAAGAAGATCATAAATAGAATCACTTGCATCAAAATAGAACTTCAAAGATCACCTCGCCCAGCTGAGCACATAAAGAAGCTAAACTTTTCGTTCAAATATTAAGGATGAAGTATGAATAAATATATATTTAAACAACTGTAACCTTGACCCTAATTCAACATTTCTCTAGTCAGATTAAATTTAATCAGCAATTCCCAAAATCAAAAATTGTTTTTTTTTTCTCCTTCCCTTGTAAGAAATCTAACAATGTCTTTAAGTCAAAAGAAATTTATTCCTGTCACTGTTTTGTCTCTTAGCAAAGCAGTCAATTTTTGCCATTCATTTCAAAGTCCATACTTCCATTGTGAATACCGTATATACCAGGGGTCTCCAACCTTGGCAACTTTAAGACTTGTGGACTTCAGCTACAGGTAGTCCTCAATTTACAACCACAGTGGAGCTCAACATTTCTGTTGCTAAGGAAGATAACTGTTAAGTGAGTTTTGTGCCCCATTTTACAACCTTTTTTTTTTTTGCCACAATTGGTAAGTGAACCACTGCAGTTGTTAAGTGAATCATGTGGACTTTGCTTGTTGGAAGCCAGCTAGGAAGATTAGAAATGGGTGGGCAATCACCCAGGGACAGTCCAACTGTCGTAAATATGTGCCAGGTTTTTTTTTTAAAATTTGATTTATATGCCGCCCTTCTCTGGAGACTCAGGGCAGCTTACAATGCGTTAAGCAATAGCCTTCATACTTTTGTATATTTATACAAAGTCAGCTTATTGCCCCCACAATCCGGGTCCTCATTTTACCTACCTTAGAAAGGATGGAAGGCTGAGTCAACCTTGAGCCTGGTGAGATTCGAACTTACAGTAATTGCAGACAGCTGGTGTTAATCACAATGCTTTTAGTCTGCTGAGCCACCAGGCCCGGTTGTCAAATGCCTGACTTTTAATCAGTTGATAAGTGAATGCAGCTTCCCCATTGTCTTTGCTTGTCAGATGGCTGCAAAAAGCGATCACCTGATCCCAGGACACTGAAACCAGGGGTGCTATTCAGCAGGTTTTGACAGGTTCTGAAGAACCGGTAGCGGAAATTTAGAGTAGTTCAGAGAACCGGCAAATACCACCTCTGGCTGCCCCCAGAGTGGGGTGGGAATGGAGATTTTGCAATATCCTTCCCCTGGGATTGGGGAGGGAATGGGGATTTTGCAGTATCCTTCCTCTGGAGTCGGGTGGGAATGGAGATTTTGCAGTATCCTTCCCCTGCCACGCCCACCAAGCCACGCCCACCAAGCCACACCAAGCCCACCAAGCCACGCCCACAGAACCGGTAGTAAAAAAATTTGAATTCCACCCCTGATGACAGGGGTGTCAAACTCCTGGCCCGCAGGCCGGATGCGTCATGCGTCGGTTTAGCAAAGGGGGAAAAGTCACAATACTTCATGCGATGCTGCCGTAACGACACGAGTTTGACAGCCCTGGCATATAACAACCTTAGAGCCGATGTCACGTATAAAAACAAAGCCCACCGCTGATGGAATTCCGAAGCAACCTTTGAAAATGACACTTCTGTGTTTCCTTTTTGAGACTGGAACCAGACCGACTATGGCCTCCCCACCCCGTATGAACGAAACGAGTCCGCTCTCATACTTCCATTAGTCCTTCAGCATCTCTGCCCGATGTACATCTCCGTCGGTGGTTTGGGTGCCATCGCAGCCGCTGTGATGTCCTCTGGAGATTCTGCTCTGCTCTCCGCCAGTTCCATGTTTGCTCATAACATCTACAGGAAAATATTCCGGAAAAAGGTAAGGGGTGGATTGTTAACATTTGTCTACCACAAATGATACAGGAACATTATTATAGCAATAGCAATCGCACTTAGACTTATATACCGTTTCGCAGGGCTTTTACAGCCCTCTCTAAGCGGTTTACAGAGTCAGCCTCTTTCCCCCAATAATCTGGGTCCTCATTTTACCGACCTCGGAAGGATGGAAGGCTGAGTCAACCTTGAGCCTGGTGAGATTCAAACTGCCAAATTGCAGGCAGGCGGCAGTCAGCAGAAGTAGCCTGCAGTACTGCACTCTAACCACTGCACCACCGCAGCACTATAGATAGTTCTCGACTTACAATCATTCATTTAGTGACTGTTCCAAGTCACAATGACACTGAAGAAAGTAATTTATGACCGTTTTTCACGTTCGGCCGTTGCACCATCTCCCTGGTTCTGTTATATCAAAATTCGGATGCTTGGCAACTGACTCATATTTATGACGTGTTGCAGTATCCCAGGGTCATATGATCACCTTTGGCAATCTTCTAACAAGCAAAATCAATGGGGAAACCAGATTAATTTTACAAGTGTGTTACTGACTTAACGACTGCAGTGATTCACTTAACAATGGTGGCAAGAAAAGTCATAAAATGGGACAAAACTCACTTTACCACTGACTGGGTTAACAACAGAAATTTTGGGCTCAGTTGTGATTGTAAGTTGAGGATTACATGTAGAGCAGTGTAAGAGAAATTCCTTTTTCAAAAAAAGTATCTCCTAATATTTAAAGGTTCCTCACTAGTCATATAACTTTTGTGTCTGAGAGGAAAGAATTTAAAATGGTCATAAATGTTGCATGTCGTCCCTAATCTCATAAAAAAGAACTGCTCTACATTTTTTTCAATTCTTTTTTCATTCATAAAAATGTGCACTAATTACAAACCTTATGTGTATAGGTAGACCTTGACTTCTGACCAAAATTGACCCCAAATTCCTGTTGCTAAGCGCGCCAGTTGTTAAATGGGAAACCACTACTGAACTTTTTGCTCGAAACAGAAAAAAAATGAATTCCTGACTTTCTGTTTGGCTGATTAGACTAGTTTGTAATGGAAATGGCCAGTAATTCCTAAGTATGTAATATAAAAGTTAAAGCTGTAAAACGTAACATATTTTGTATTTTATTGCAATGAAAATAGTTGGAAGTCAATGCCTCCTTTACTCTATACTTCTTTCCCTTTCTTATCCTTTCTCGTGTCCTTATTATCTTTACTTTCATTTGCATTTACACTTCTACAATTTCAATCAATTTTTTTTAAAAAATGGTCATTAATTGGAAGCATGGCAGATATGTTAAACTCCCAACCTGCAAAATGGCAGTGCAAAATACCACATTCAAAACCCTGCCATGTACGAAGGGGGAGAGGCTTCAATCACAATACCACAACTACCTTCACACAGGCTTTGATCCTCTCCTCTGGGCACCCATGACTAGCATGTTCATTACACAGAGGGGCAACGAGTCTAGTCATGCAGTTTGAAACTAATTCAAAATAAAGAGCAAGACCATGTATCTAGAAGCCTCAACTTTCCTTCCAATTCCTTTCTTCTACTTTTCACAATTTCCTAGCGCAGTGATGGCTAACCTTTTTGCCGTCGTGTGCCAAAAGTAGGGGGAGCGCGGGGGGGGGGTTGTGCGCGCACATGCCCACTCCCATAATTCAATGCACCTCACTGCCCCGCACATGCCCGTGCAACCCCCCCCCGCACTCCCACACTTTTGGCACGCGATGGCACGGTGGGCCCAGTAGGCCCGGTTTTTTTGCCCTCCCCAGGCACCAGAGGCTTTCTTGGAGCTTGTGGAGGGCGAAAATGGCCTCCTCCCCCCCCCCCGGAGGCTCTCTGGAGGCTGGAAATGGCCCATTTCCTGACTGTTTTCATGAATGAAATAATAATTTTCTAAAAGTGTAGAGAATCTCATTCCTTTTTATGAGATTAGGGCCAACACGCAACATTCTGCCTGTTAATGAATTTGCACCTATTTTAATTTGAAGGGAATTCCCTCCCCCCTTTCCTTCCTTCTCTTTGATTTCCTACAGGCAACAGAGAAAGAGGTCCTATGGGCAATGAGAGTCTCCATGATGGTGTTTGGGATAATTTCAGCAGTTCTGGCTTTCTATTCCCATTCGATTTATGACCTCTGGTTCTTGAGTGGAGAGCTAGTATACACCCTCCTCTTCCCCCAGTTGTGCTGTGCTCTGTTTCTTCCCAGCACCAACACCTACGGCTCCGGGGTTGGGTTCTTCCTTGGCTTTCTTCTACGGCTATTGGCAGGAGAACCATCCTTGAAGATCTCCCCTGTGATCTGTTACCCGGGATGCTCGGTGGTAGAAGGTGTCTCCGTCCAGCTCTTTCCATTCAAGATGGTCACCATGCTGATCACGCTACTTACCATCTTCTCCACTTCCCATCTGGCCAGATTTATGTTCAAGAGCGGAATCCTTCCTGCTGAATGGGACGTCTGCCAAGTTATTGTGGATGACGCCGTGCCCGTTCCCTTCTCCTGGGGAGAAAGGCAGATGGATGTGCGAAAAGATCCAGAATTGAGAGCAAGCAGAGGAAAGCGGTTATGAAAGATATTTGACGGTATCATTCTTCCGTTACCACCGATTGTTGGGAAGCTCCTTTGAGCGGTAGGAAGAAAATATCCATCTGGTTCAGTTCCAAGCTGGAAACATGGAGGCTGATTGGAAAGATGGTTTATTGATGAAGCAGAACCACCTGTGATTCTGGGCAGCTGACAAAATGGAGTTGAGAGTGTGGGGGAATTATATCTTCTTTGGGCTTTGTATTTGAACTTCCTGTTCCTGTGCAAGAACATGCCCTTTAATATTCTTTTGGCTAGTGTCAGATTCCTATGGGGTCATGTAGGGGTCATAGCTGGCTCTATAGGCAAAAGAGGAAATGCAAATCCTAGGTGCTTGTCTGAGCTAAGTTTGGTTGAAGTTTGGACTGCTCTGAAAGGGTGTTGGGCAATTCTATTGTGGCTTAATGGCTTTTGCCCTGTGTTGGATCTTGAGTGAGGGCTAATCCTGTCTTGAATGGATTACCAAATCTACATTTCTAAAAGCTGCCTCTTCAGTGTCTGCTGGAGCTATTAAGAGAGGCTGAGTCGGTTTCCGGCCTCAAAATAAGAAAAAACGTTTCTCCATTTTTCATTAGGGAAATATAATATTCTGTCTTTTTAATATTCCTCAAAATATTTCATTCTTCCAGGGGAGAGGTAGGTGCTAACTTTCTACAGAGCAATGAAAAAAAGTTGGCAGATAGGTCAGAATTCAAAATCACAGCAGTGTCTTTACATTATAGCAGCTGAAACACTTTTGCAAGTACTTCTGATTGTATAGCTGAGCTCTTTATACGCCAAGAACATTAATTTAGATGTAGTTATGGAAGTGCTGCTTGCTGTTTTGTTTTGTTTTTTTGAATATTTATTTTACTTAATATTTCAATTCTGAGGCTACCTGACTCCATAGTGATTCTGGCAGTGATTGTCTTACAATTAAAAATTTAAAAGGAATGCATGAGGAAACCACAGAGAATGTTACTCTCCTTTGATCCTTGCAGGGAAATCATACAGAAATAGCAATACTGGTTACATAGCACATTTAACAAGCCATTCTATGGTCTTTGTTGTTATAGTCCAGAGTCCAGACCCTACTTTATACTTCCCAACAATTAGAAACTATATATTGGGCAGCAAAGATCTTTATATCAACCTAATCATCAAAACCATCCTTACATTTTTAATAAATCCATTGAAAAAGTACAACTTGCCATAAAAATGTTCCCATGTATAGTGTGCTAGATTTCCGGGTTGCTCCATTCCATTAGGATTTTGTGTTACACTTGTATAACTATAACAGCGTTCCACAACCGTAGCAGCTTGAGGATATGTTGACTTCAATTCCCAGAACTCCTCAGCCAACATGTCTGGCTGGGGAATTCTGGGAATTGAAGTTCACACATCTTCAAGTTGCCAAGGAACGTTATTAAAAATGTAAGGATGGTTTTGATGACTGGGTTGATACAAAGATCTTTGCTGCAGGTCCCCGGGTTTTATGTCCTCTCTGGCTTTGAACTTCCTGGGCCCCCGAAAGAGTATCCTGATTGGTTGTCAGACTCCCAGGGGGTGGGGGTCTTAGCTAGCCTTGCTGGCTGATGTAATCTTCCCAGGTGCCATGTGGTGAGTTTCTGTTGCTAGATGGGTCCTATTGTGTTGTAGATGGTCCATTGACAAAGATTGAGTTTCTGCCTCTGGTCCATTGACAAAGGGTGGGTGGGGGGCAGGAAGATGGGAGCTGCTTCGTCTTTAAAACATGCTTCTCCATTTCTCATCCAGGGAAACATAATATTCTGCCTTTTTAATATTTCCCAAAATATTTCATTCCTCTAGGAAAGGGTGGGTGCTAACTTCCTACACTTTCTCATATTGTTTCGGATCTGCCCATATCCCTGAAGTACAAGTACCATTGTAGGAAATTAGCACCCACCCCTCTCCTAGAAGAATGAAATATTCTAGGAAATATTAAAAAGGCAGAATATTATATTTCCCTGGATGAGAAATGGAGAAACATGTTTTTTTAGGCAGGAAGCAGACTCACTCTTAATAGCCCCCACCCTCCTCAATAGCCCACAGCAGATGTCAGCACTTAAGAGATAAAGAGATAGCTAGGTCTATTCATAAGCAAATACCAACACCCAAGATCCAACAAAGGTAGGATTAGCCCTTTACCCATCTAGCAACAGAACTCACCACATGGCACCTGGGGAGATTGCATCACCCAGCAAGATTCAACCAAGCCTGGGACTCAAATACAACTTACAAAGTTACCCCTGCATGGCCCCATGTGAGTCTGACAACCAATCAGAATACAAGCTCAAATTCAAAGCCCAACAGAGGGTATACATCTCTCTCTCTCTCTCTCTCTCTCTCTCTCTCTCTCTCTCACCCATGTGCTTTTTTGCCGAGGACCTCAAAACCATGTGGTCCTGCCCACCATTGAACAATATTTTCAAGCAGCCTCCATATTTTCAGTGTCTTTCTCCCCACTTGGAACCGAACCCAGATGGACATGTCTTCCAACACCGTTTTGTCAATGTACATTTCTCCTTCCTTCAAGAGCAGACATTTTTATGATGGAACCTTCAGCATTTTCTCAAGGTTTCAAATCTGCCATGACACCCCCCCCCGCCAAAAAAATATTCAAATTGGATATTCTGCTTTCATTGTCATTCCAGATAGAAAATTTAACAACAACCACTCACCCTCTCAATTTCCAATGTAACTTTCTGGATGCATCCTTTTTTTACTTACAACTGGTAGAGAATATCCATCCATATCCTTACAATAATGAGAAGCGCATTGATCTGCCATGCTGTTCTTCAAAATAATATACCAACTTGGAGTCTTTACTTTAATGCTTATAAGCCTCACGGCTGACATCAGGGAGACCATGCATTTTATACGTCTGTTCTGAGCAACCCATCAAAGTAACCTGTACATATAAATGTTACGTTTCAGCAGCCTACATTTTGTGGTTCAACATGGATATGTGTGTCTAAGAATGATCTTCTACAAGAATCTTCTGACAAAGCACAATATGAAAAAAAAAATCCTTCTGCCAACTATGTGAAAGGCAGACAGTTTAAAGTAAGGTAAAGGTTCCCCTCGCACATATGTGCTAGTCGTTCCTGACTCTAGGGGCCGGTGCTCATCTCCGTTTCAAAGCCGAAGAGCCAGCGCTGTCCGAAGACGTCTCTGTGGTCATGTGGCTGGCATGACTAAACACCAAAGGTGCACGGAACTCTGTTACCTTCCCACCAAAGGTGGTCCCTATTTTTCTACTTTTCATTTTTAACGTGCTTTCGAACTGCTACGTTGGTAGAAGCTGGGACAAGTAACGGGAGCTCACCCCATTACGCGGCACTAGGGATTTGAATCGCTGAACTGCCAACCTTTCTATTGACAAGCTCAGCATCTTAGCCACTGAGCCACTGCGTCCCTTTTAGACAGTTTACTGTTAGTCTAATAAAATAGTCTCAAACAGTAAACTGCAGACAGTTTACTGTTAGTCTAGTAAAATAGTCTGAAAGCCAGATATTGTGTTAATAAGAAGATGGAAACTGCCATCTTTGGGTAAATTTCTAATACGCCATGTGGCAGATAAGAGCTTTTTGGCTCCTGTTAGTCTGATGCTCTTTTCTAAGTATATTCTTAATTCTATTATTAATGATTTCGGATCCCCAGAGAAATTTTAAAACCTCACAGGATACAAAGGTGGGAGGAAAACTGAGCTGCTGATACCTAAAGAGGGGAGATATAGAAGAATTGGAAATACAGTTCCTATTTTTGTTTAATTCTGTGTAACCAAACTAAAATAATAATATAACACAGGAAATATGAAAAAATATAAAAAATATGTATACTGGATTAAAGCACACATTCTTTCACAATTAATAAAAGACTCTTACTGTCAATATTCCTACGGCAGGAACTTTAATAAAATCAATTATAAATTAATAAAAGACTCTTAGTGTCAATATTCCTACGGCAGGAACTTTGAGGCATATCATTTTTAGAAAATATCCAGGATGATACTTCTTTCATAGAATTATAAACTTATATTTGATAGCGATACCTTTTTGGTAAGATTTTAAATTTTATTAGGAGCTGTGGTAGTGCAGTGGCTAGAATGCAGTATTGCATGCTGACTCTACCCACAGTCAGGAGTTCGATCCTGACCGGCTCAAAATTGACATCCTTCTGAAGTTGGCAAAATGAGGACCCAGATTGTTAGGGACAATATGCTGACATTATGAATCACACAGAGAGTGCTGCAAAGGACTATATAACTCTATTGCTATTCAGAGGCTTCAAAGAGTGAGAGTTATCCCTTACTTTTCCCATCCTTACAGTTAACTTCTCCCTTTGATTTAACATTACCTAACTTCAGACACATTATGCGAGGACCTACCTCTCTAGAGAAGGTTGTAATCCTGAAAAAGGTGGAAGGAAGAAGAAGAAGATAACCAGCAGAAAGATGGGATGGACTGAGCTACAGTGGGGATGAGTGTACCATTAGAAGACCTCAAAAACCAGGGCAGGGACAGATCATCATGGAATAAATCTTTTTAAGCGGTTGCTAAGCGTCAACAATGATTTGATGACACACAATCAAGGTGCTTTTATCCCCAGCAGAAACCTAGAGTGGAACTCCTCATTTCCAATGTGTCCAAATCTCCCTCATGGAGATGTAGATTAACACTGTAGCACCTGGGGCTGCTCTGTCTTATGGAAAAATGGATATGAGAGCTGGCAGCTCCTTTGCATTTATAATAGCAATAGCACTTAGACTTATATACCGCTTCACAGGGCTTTTACAGCCCTCTCTAAGTGGTTTCCAGAGTCAGCCTATTGCCCCCAACAATCTGGGTCCTCCTTTTACCCACCTCGGAAGGATGGAAGGCAGAGTCAACCTTGAGCCTGGTGAGATTTGAACTGCTGAACTGCAGCTAGCTGTCAGCTGAAGTAGCTTGCAGTACTGCATTCTAACCACTGCGCCACCTTTTACAAACAGACCTTGAGGTACAACCCTAATTGAGACTGACAGAGATAATAGTAGGCCATGACAATCATAATACAGGGCACCACGTGACAGGATTCGCTTTTACAACTATTTTGCAGTAGTCCAGGGGTGTCAAACTCAACCGGCCCATAGGGGGCTTAGAACCGGTCTACCGTGCTGGCCTGGAAATAGCAAAGGACCGGCCTGCGTTGCCTCTGCTAGCGAAAACAGGCTGTGGGGTGGGTTTCAGTAGGTTCTGATCAGTTCTGGAGAACCGGTAGCGGAAATTTTGAGTAGTTCGGAGAACCAGTAGTAAAAATTCTGACCGGCCCTGCCCCCATCTATTCTCTGCCTCCCAAGTCCCAGCTGATCGGGAGGAAATGGGGATTTTGTAGTAACCTTCCCCTGGATTGGGGAGGGAATGGAGATTCTGCAATATCCTTCCCCTGCCATGCCTACCAAGTCACACCCACCAAGCCATGCCATGCCCACCAAACCACACCCACAGAACCGGTAGTAAAAACTTTTGAAACCCACCACTGGCGGGCACCCCCCCCCTCCCACCTTGCCCCGTTTTGGCCAGCAGGGTGCTGTAGGAGGCCAGCCTTCCTGTCTCCCTACCCCTGGCTCACAGAGGACAACTACAATGCTTGGAGGACAACTCCAGCCCTCCAAGAAACCCAGTTTGACACCCCTGCAGTAGTCGATAAGTGAATATGGCAGTTGTAAAGCACCACAGTCATTAAGCAAACCCATTGTTCGCTCTGGGCTTGGTTTTTTTTTTTTTTTTTTGCCAGAAACCAGAATAATTCCACTTTCTGGCAAAGCCATCACAAATCACAGTCACGTGAGCCTGAGGTGCTGCAAACAGCCATAAACTCAGGCCAGTTGTTGAGCATGGGGTCATGTGACCAATGTTGGAACTTCAAAACTGGGTCTTAAAGTCTTTTCGGGAGAATCTCTATCATGTCTTTGAACCAGTGGTGGGTTCCAACCAGCGTTACTACCGTTTTTCTTCGTGCACACGCTCCGCGCAAGCGCGTTAGCTATCTGCCCAGCTGAGGTGCGGCAATCCACTCTGCCGCACCTATCAGCTGGGCTAAAAAAGAAGAACTAAAGGTAGGAATAACGCAGGGGTGGGCAGGAGGGCCAAGCTCCCAGACAAAGAGAACCAGTTCGGTGACATCACATCATCACTGCTACCGACTCGGCCGAACCGGGCTGAACCGGGAGGAACCCACCACTGCTTTGAACGATCATTAAGCTACGCTAACCGATGTTCTCTGGCTGTTTTTCTGTTCTTGCTCTTGTTGATGCCAGTGAGTAGTTCACGTCAGTCCCTTCAAAGCTCTCCAGCATTTTATTACAGCTTGTTTTCCTGCCAGGAACAGACGTCCTATTAAGATTTTATCGTACAACTGCAGAGATTGCCCATGAAAGGTTTTCAATAAAGCAAATAAATGCATTTGTGTGAATTCTGATCCAGTAGCGTTCCTATTTCGGCAAACGCTGTTTCTCAGGGTACTCTTATTTTTCTACAAATCTATCACACATCAGTGGTGAAATCCATTTTTTTTTTACTACCGGTTCTGTGGGCGTGGCTTGGTGGGCGTGGCAAGGGAAGGATACTGCAAAATCTCCATTCCCACCCCACTCCAGGGGAAGGATACTGCAAAATCCCCATTCTCTCCCCACTCCTGGAGGAAGGCTATTGCAAAATCCCCATTCCCTCCCCACTCCTGGGGGAAGGATACTGCAAAAAGAGCCTGAGTGGCGTAGGAGGCTAATGCCTCCTACTAAGGCAGCATTTAACATCCAGCTGCCTGCATTTACTGCGAGTTCAATTCTCACCAGGCTCAAGGTCGACTCAGCCTTCCATCCTTTCTAAGGTGGGTAAAATGAGGACCCGGTTTGTGGGGGCAATAAGCTGACTTTGTATAAAATATACAAAAGTATGAAGGCTATTGCTTAACGCATTGTAAGCCGCCCTGAGTCTCCGGAGAAGGGCGGCATATAAAAATAAATAAATAATAATAATAAAAAAATCTCCATTCCCACCCCACTCTGGGGCCACCCCACTCTGAAGAGGTTGTAGAAAAAATGCTTTTAAAACTAAAAAAAAAGCCTCTGATGATTGCACAGCTCAGCTGGGCATGGGTGGGGGGGGGGCAGGGATTTTTGCTACTGGTTCGCCAAACCACCCGCTTCCATCGCTACCGGATTGGGCGATCTGGTCCGAACCGGGAGCATTTCACCCCTGGCCACATTGGTCTTCTTTATTAGAGGTATTTAGAGAGAAGTTGCACAACCATCTGATGAATACGCTGCAGTAGTGAACCCCTGCATTGTATGGGGGGGGTTTTACACTAGATGGCCTCAAGAATCCTTCCAACTGTTTCAGAAAAGCCTTTCACCAATTTGGCTGGCTAAAGTATAACTGAGCATGTGGTGCACTACCAAACGGTGTGCTTAATTTATGATTTGCAATATTGTGCTATCAAGGCAACTGCATTATTCATAAACTGGCTACACACTCATCATACATTATAGGTGGGAGCTGTTCCTCCTGAGTAGCTGCTTACCCAGTGCCATTGATAATAATTTGAAAATTACTAGATGGCATCCAAGCTCAATATGGAGCAATCTAAGTAATTATTATCCTAGCCAATACTTATTTATTATATGGAAAAATAAGTTGTAGCCCAATCGGGTTGGAAATGTGAGAGAAGATTGGGCGAGAGAAGATTTAGCAAATCCTCAAGTTTTAGAATAGAATAACAGAGTTGGAAGGGACCTTGGAGGTCTTCTAGTCCAACCCCCTGCTTAGGCAGGAAACCCTACACCACTTCAGACAAATGGTTATCCAACCTCTTCTTAAAAACTTCCAGTGTTGGAGCATTCACAACTTCTGGAGGCAGGTTGTTCCACTGATTAATTGTTCTAACTGTCAGGAAATTTCTCCTTAGTTCTAAGTTGCTTCTCTCCTTGACTAGTTTCCATTCATTGCTTCTTGTCCTGCCTTCGGGTGCTTTGGAGAATAGCTTGACCCTTTGTTCTTTGTGGCAGCCTCTGAGATATTGGAAGACTGCTATCATGTCTCCCCTAGTCCTTCTTTTCATTAAACTAGACATACCCAGTTCCTGCAACCGTTCTTCATATGTTTTATCCTCCAGTCCCCTAATCATCTTTGTTGCTCTTCTCTGCACTCTTTCTAGAGTCTCCACATCTTTTTTACATCGTGGTGACCAAAACTGGATGCAGTATTCCAAGTGTGGCCTTACCAAAGGCATTAAAATGTGGCATTAACATTTCACCTGATCTTGATTCTATCCCTGTTTATGCAGCCTGGAAATAACAGTATTAAAGGATGGGGTCCTGAGCACCAAAGACTAGCTAACATCCTCAGTGCTACCCTGTTTTCCCCAAAATAAGACATCCCCTGATAATAAGCCAAATTGGGCTTTTGAACGCATGGCAATAAGGCCAAGCACTTGTTTCAGGGTTCAAAAATACATAAGACAGAGTCTTATTTTCGGGGAAACACGGTAGTAAGGATTGGGGTTTGCTGCTCCCACTCCTCCCTACCACTGATGACATTACCTAGTTTGGGTAATGAAACGTCTAGGTCTCCTCCGTGAGGAGGGGGCTGGACTAGATGACCTCCAAGATCCCTTCCAACTTCTGTTCCTGTTCCTGCGTGAGGAGGGGGCTGGACTAGATGACCTCCAAGATCCCTTCCAACTCTGTTCCTGTTCCTGCATGAGGAGAGGGCTGGACTAGATGACCTCCAAGGTCCCTTCCAACTCTGTTCCTGCGTGAGGAGGGGGCTGGACTAGATGACCTCCAAGGTCCCTTCCAACTCTGTTCCTGCATGAGGAGGGGGCTGGACTAGATGACCTCCAAGGTCCCTTCCAACTCTGTTCCTGCGTGAGGAGGGGGCTGGACTAGATGACCTCCAAGGTCCCTTCCAACTCTGTTCCTGCGTGAGGAGGGGGCTGGACTAGATGACCTCCAAGGTCCCTTCCAACTCTGTTCCTGCGTGAGGAGGGGCTGGACTAGATGACCTCCAAGGTCCCTTCCAACTCTGTTCCTGTCACTATAAAAAAAGCAAGCTGAGAGAGCACCAAAATCCCCTCAAGAGTCCTCATCCAAGGCGCTCTAAGGCGCCAATCCATCTTCTCACCAGGCCGCCCAACAACAGGCCGGGGCGGCTCCTGGCTGGTCGCTGGCCCTGTGCCAGCCGCAGCGCAAAGCAAAGAGCCGGCGGGGCTGGCGTGGGCGGGAGCCGAAGGACGGAGGCCGGCCTTCCTCTCCGGGCTCTGCCTCTTGCAAAGGGGAAGAGCCCGGGGCCAGGAAAACGCTCCTTTGCATGGAGCCTCGGGCGTCTCAGACGTCTCCATGCCGACGACGCGGGAGCGGATCCCGTCTCCCTCACGACCCTCGTATTCTGCCCAGAGGAACGTCTGAATGAACCCCAGCGGCGTTTCCCCGCTTTCTGATGAGGCCTCTCGACCGCCCGCAGCGCTGCCGACCGGGGGTCCGACTGGCTTGGGTGACTTTGTCCCTGGCCGCCCAGTGGGCTCTGCAAAGTGAGTGCCTGGCGCGCCTCTCCTTTCAAGCCCGGGGTTGGGACCGGGGTTTTTTGGCGGGAGAAACTATTTCATAGCCTATTTTTCCCCCCCCCCCCCCCCCCCCCCCTCCCCCCCGAACAGGTGTCGTTTCCCTGGCGCAGGGCAGGCAGCGAGGGGAAAGTGGCGCGCCTGTTGCATTTCTGCCTTGACTGTCCTCAAAAGCTGGGTTGCAGCAAAGCAATTGGCAACCATATGGGGATATTGTGTGTGTGTGTGTGTGTGTGTGTGTGTGTGTGTAGGGGGGGAGAGAAGGTATTAGCGATGATTTTGCTTCCCCTCCCCTTCCCTCTCAGCTAGTCAGTTATTGGCATGTAAAAGCAACAAAGATGATTAAGGGACTGGAGGATAAAACATGTTATTGTTTTTAATCATGGGGCCAAATTTATATATATCTTTTTAATTGTATTTTAATGTTTGCAGTTTATGTTTTTATTTGGCTGTTCACCGCCCTGAGTCCTCAGGGAGAAGGGCGGTATACAAATTTAAAAATAAATAAATAAATAAATAAAATATGAAAAAAGGTTGCTGGAATTGGGTATGTCTAATCTAATGAAAAGAAGGACTGGGATAGAATAGAATAGAATAGAATAGAATAGAATAGAATAGAATAGAATTAGAATAGAATAGAATAGAATAGAATGAATAGGATAGGGTAGGGTAGGGTAGGGTAGGGTAGGGTAGGGTAGGGTAGGGTAGGGTAGGGTAGGGTAGGATAGGATAGGATAGGATAGGATAGGATAGGATAGGATAGGATAGGATAGGATAGGATAGGATAGGATAGAATAATAATAACTACAACGTTATTGTCATTGTACGTGTATACACAGTATAAACGTACAACGAAATTCACTTAATACCCAAAGACCAGGTCCAACACACATAACAATTTCCAAACATCCCCCCACCCACCCACCACAATTCCCCACCCCTAAACAACCCAAACATCCACACAACAGACCAAGTAATGCTGTCCATCAGTTCATTGTTGAGTGCAGTTATAACTCTGGGATAAAAAAAACTATACAGAAGACGTGTGGTCCGAGTTTTAATTGTTCTGTATCTTCTGCCAGAAGGCAATAGTCCAAAAAGATTGTAAGCAGGATGGGAAGAGGAGTCTCTGAGAATGTTATGCAACTTCCTCAAGCAGCGAGATTCGAAGATGTCGTCCAGGGAGTCCGATAATATTCTGGGCAGTTTTCATGATTCTCTGTAGAGCTTTTTTGTCCGCTACAGAGCTGCTCCCATACCATGCAAGAATGCCATATGTCAGGACACTCTCAATGGTGCTGCAATAGTAGGACAGAAGTAGATGCTGAGATAGATTTATCTTCCTGAGCATTCTCAGGAAGTACAGCCTCTTCTGTGAATAGAATAGAATAGAATAGAATAGAATAGAATAGAATAGAATAGAATAGAATAGAATAGAATAGAATAGAATAGAATAGAATAGAATAGAATAGAATAGAATAGAATAGCAGAGTTGGAAGGGACCTTTACGGTCTTCTAGTCCAACCCCCTGCTTAGGCAGGAAACCCTACACCACTTCAGACAAACTTCCAGTGTTGGAGCATTCACAACTTCTGGAGGCAAGTTGTTCTACTCATTAATTATTCGAAACATGATAGCACTGTTCCAATATCTTTGTTGCCATTTCTATTCTATTCTATTCTATTCTATTCTATTCTATTCTATTCTATCTATTCTATTCTATTCTATTCTATTCTATTCTATTCTATTCTATTCTTTCTTCTCCTCCTCTTCCCTTTTTCCTCTGTGGTGAGACATCACGCTTAGCTGAATTGGGCAATGTGCCGCACTGGATAGGCCATATGTTTTATGTATTACACTTGTTTGAATTTGGCATGGAAAGGAATACAAGTCAAGAGTTTATTTTCATTATTTTCAATCCAGAAAAAAATTGGAACGCAGTGTCCCATCTTGGAAGATTTGATTTCTGGCAGAAAATGGCCATTTGATATGCTGGACTTAGTTAACATGTGATTTGCTTAATTATCATCATAAAAGTGGTTGTAAAATTGTGCCCGGTCACATGTTGACCTGCTTAATGACTGCAATGACTTAAAATCAAATTTCTGGGCTCAGTTGCAGTTGTAAGTTGAGGAGTAAGGTACTTGTATCTGTTAATTGTTTTTAGTTGTCCATTCTTAGGGAAGCTGGGGCTAGCCAAGGGAATCAATTAACAGAGATAAGCCAAACACATCTGAGTGGCTTTTCTATGGCAATAAATTTACTCAGTGCCTGGCTGGAAAAGAGCAGATATAAATAACATGCTAAAATGTAAATCTGTAAATTTTCGTAGAACAGCAATGAATAGCAAAAGGTAGACAGTAGCAGATAAAAATGTTTTAAAAAGCAGTACAGATAATTCTTGTTTAGTAACTGCCTCATTCAGCAACTATTTGCAGTTACAACAATGATGAATTTTATAATACAATCCGCGCATTATGGTTTTTGTGGGTCTGTTAAGTAAAGGAAAGATGAAGTATGTTTTGGGACAAGATTAACAATTAGATTAATTAAATTACTGATTTTCCTGGCTTTGCTCTTGAATTTTCCTTTGTAAAGCAAAGTTTATAAACCTACATATTTTTTTTATTCTAATGTCCTTCTGCAAATTTGCCCTTTTCAGTCTTGTCCTTTCCTTTTTTCAAGAAAATATGGTCGCTGTACCCATGCATGAATAAATAATAAGACAGCGTTGAAAATTAATATCCATTGTGCTAATAATATAAGAACTGTCTGGTATTCTTGCCTTCTGTTTCCTGATCTCAAGTCCAAATAACTGCTGCTTTTACATTATTTTAAGAGCAGAGAGATAACTCTGGACTGATTTTCCCAGTCGCTGACAGGCCGAATGATCAGTTGGCTGGGAAAGTAGGATTTATTGAGTCTGCCATCTGCAACTCTATAACTGTCTGGTTTGGCTCTGCAAACAAACAAGACAGACACAGACTTCAGAGGATAATTAGAACTGCAGAAAAAACAATGGCTACCAACCTGCCTTCCATTGAGGACCTGTATACTGCACGAGTCAAAAAGAGGGCTGTGAAAATACCTACAGACCCCTCACATCCTGGACATAAACTGTTTCAACTCCTACCCTCAAAACGACGCTATAGGGCACTGCACACCAGAACACCTAGACACAAGAACAGTTTTTTCCAGAATGCCATCACTCTGCTAAACAAATAATTCCCACAACACTGTCAAACTATTTATTAAGACTGTATTACTATTCTTCTTTTCATCCTTACTAGTACTTATCTCTTCCTCCTTATGGCTATATCCATGTTGCTTGTATCTTTACAACTTACATTGTTTTTATTGTTTCCTAGTATGATTTGATTGCTTATTAGTATCCTATGACTATCACTAAGTGTTGTATCTTATGATTCTTGACAAATATATTTTATGTTTTCTTTATGTACACTGAGAGCATATGCACCAAAGACAATTTCTTTGTGTGTCCAATCACATTTGGCCAATAAAAGAATTCTATTCTATTCTATTTAAGAGAGAGAGAATCTCTCCCTTCTCAAAAAGCCCTTTCTCCCTCTCTGAGATATTTGTCTTAGCTCAAGCGAAGCAAAATGTCTCGTCTTTTTCTGCACATGGGCAAAACACGCAGAACCATTGTTTCATGGAGAAGAGTTGCAAAGAAAGTTATTGTTAGTCGCGAAGGTGTGTGCGACTCATCGCGACCCCATGGACAACATTCCTCCAGGCCTTTCTGTCCTCTATCATCCTCTGGAGTCCATTTAAGCTCCCGCTGACTGCTTCAGTGACTCCATCCAGCCACCTCGTTCTCTGTCGTCCCTTTCTTCTTTTGCCCTCAATCTTTCCCAGCATTAGGCTCTTCTCCAGTGAGTCCTTCCTTCTCATTAGGTGGCCAAAGCATTTGAGTTTCATCTTCAGGATCTGGCCTTCTAAAGAGCAGTCAGAGTTGATCTCCTCTAGGACTGACCGGTTTGATGGCCTTGCAGTCCAAGGGACTCTCAGGAGTCTTCTCCAGCACCATAGTTTAAAGGCCTCAATTCTTTGGCGCGCAGCCTTCCTTATGGTCCAACTTTCACAGCCATACATTGCAATTGGGAACATCATAGCAAAGAAAGTGCTGCAGGCCACTTCTGACCACTCTTCTCTTTTCCCAAAGGACAAGTGTCAGACCTGCTGGCACTCAAAAGCTCTAAATAGAAACAAAACCAAGCTGGCACAAAAACTAACTAGCTGACTTTTGAGAAGTCATTTGCTCACCTCTTAGGAAGAATGGCAAACGACATCCAAGGATGTTGCTAAGAAAACTTCAAGAACTTCTTACGAAGTCAAGATTGACTTGAATGTAGGTGTGTACACATATACACAGAAATATCCTTGGCCATCTAAAACTGGCCTTGATTTGAAGTGCAGATCAAACATTGGTTTTGAATCCACTATTCAAGAACCGCGGTGGCGCAATGGTTAGAATCAGTGGTGGATTGCCCCCAGTTCGCACCGGTTCTATAGAACCGGTAGTAAAACTGGCGGGAGGCTCTGCCCACCGACCCTGACGTCATCAAAATTTTGACGTCATCAAAATGCTTCTGCGCATGCGCAGAAGAGCACGTGTGCAGCCCCGCTGCGAACCGGTAGTAAAGGTAAGTAGAACCCACCTCTGATTAGAATGCAGTACTGCAGACTACGTTTGTTGACTGCTGGCTGCCAGCAGTTCGATTCTGACCGGCTCAAGATTGACTCAGCCTTCCATCCTTCCAAGGTCGGTAAAATGAGAACCCAGATTGTAAATTGTCTACACTTATTGAGAAAGCTATAATTTTATTAGAAGTTAAATGTATTTCAGTAATGCCTAGCCAGAACTGAGAATTGCATTCCCACATCCCAAATTTCTACTTTTCCTTCCCTTAACTGCCTCCCATTGCTGAGTGCCCCCCAAGTATCCCCCCTCCCCTCATCTCCCCAGAGTTCATGGCAGACTGTCACCACATGGTAACGAAGCACACAAGCAAGTATCTCTAAGAGCATAGTTTGCATCTTGCAAACTATGCTCTTAGAGATAAGAGTCCTTGGCTTATGACTCATTGCCTAACGACCATTTGAAGTTCTGACAGGTCTACCTAGGGGGTACTCAGCAAGGAGGCCTGCTTATCAGCTCCTTGAGTGTAGCTCTTTTGAGACATAGAATCTCCACTGTTGTTTAAACTCCATTTTTCTCTCTGTTTCCTTTTTTAAAGGGAGCCCTTCACTCTTGCCTGCATGGCTAATGCTCGATTTACAAATGGTCGTTTAGCAACCGTTTGAAGTTACAACGTCACTGAAAAAAAAAAAACGGTTGTTAAGCATGCAGTTGCTACATGAATCTGGCTTACTGCCCTTGTAACTTTACACGGTCACTAAATGAACTGTTGTAAGTTGAGGTCTACATGTACTAGGCTCTCTCTTGAGACCCGGGTGCTCAGAGAACCTCTTTATTGCTGTGCAGAATAAAGAGGTTACAATTTCCTTCTTTGTGTGATAATTGGTGCCTTTGCAACCAGGTCACAATTCTAGGATTTGACTGGGCCAGTCCATGGTTTGACTGACAGATGTCTGAAATTCCATTCTGTTCCCATAACTTTTACATAGTACATTGAGCCAGGGATGGGCTTCAAAAATTTTAGCGAGGGGTTCTCTGCCTGGTTGCTGGGTGGGCGTGGCCATGGTGAGTGTGGCCTAGTCGGCCTCCTGCACCACGGCGGGGGTGGGGGGGTGGCATTTTTGCCCTCCCCAGGCTCCGGAGGCTTTTCTCGAGCTTCCAGGAGGGTGAAAACAGCCTCCCCGGGCTCCAGAGGCTCTCTGGAGGCTGGAAACGGGCCCGTTTCTGTTCTTCCCAAACTTCCGGTAGGCCTGTTTTTTGCCCTCCCCGAGCCTCCGCACACGCCCTGCACTTACCTGCATCCAAAACAGGCCCCATGGGGACTCCTAGGAGGGGAGGAGAGGGGTGGGCAGGGCCAGCCAGGAGTGGGATTTGGGAGTTCTACGAACTGCACAGAATCTTAGCTAGAGGTTCTCCCAAACCCCTACAAACCTGCAGCAGCCCACCCCTGCATTGAGCTCAACTTCACAACATGTCCCTGTAATTTTCCTAAATTTCATAAAAGAGGCAATCCTGTTTTTCTGTGTAATTTGCTGTGTAATTTTCGTAAAACAGGCAATCCTCAATTTAGAAGTGTTTATGTTTAATGATCATTTGAAGTTACAGTGGCACTGAGAATAATTATTTGAGACCGGTCCCCACAGTTATGATCATTGCAGCATCTTCACAATCACGTGATCAAAATTTGGGCACTTGCCAGTTGGTATCTCTTTATAACCGGGAGGTCCATGCAATCACCATTTGTGACTTTGCCAGCTGGCTTTGACTAGCAAAATCAAAGGGGAAAGCCAGATTCACTTAACAACTGCATGCTTCATTTAGCAACCGCAGTGATTGGCTTAACAAACAGGGCAGAACAGATTGGGCAGGGCTCACTTAACCGCTGCCTTTCTTAACAATGGAAATTCTGCTCCTAACTGTGGTCATAAATTGAGGGTTACCTGTATGGAAGTGCTTTAACATTGACTTCCTCCAGAAGGTTTTTTCAACTTCTCAGTCAAGGCTCCAGCTCTGATATTTCTTAGGCTCCCCCACCCAGTTATTAACCAGGGCCAACTCTGCTTAGATGGGTATTGCCCTGTTTAGCTGAATTCCAAAGAATAACTGATTAAACTTGTTAGGGTGGTTTCCTTAACTGGCAGTTTACATTGGCACCGTTCTCTCTTTGATCAAACATAGCAGGCCTTTCCTTTTAAAAAGTTGTACAATGATCTTCAACTTATTGGTTAACTAATAAGGTCCTATTGCAGCAAGAATGTATGTGTGTGTGTACGTGTACGTGTGTATGTGTACAAGGTATTTGTGTATATGTATGTGTATACACATAGAATGTAGATAGCTAGATAGATAGACAGAGAGAGAGAGAGATACATAGCTAGCTAGCTAGCTAGCTAGATATGTAAATAATGGATGGATGGATGGATAGATGATACCGTGTTTTCCTGAAAATAAGACCCCATCTTATATTTTTTTGAACCCCGAAATAAGCACTTGGCCTTATTTTCGGGGAGGTCTTATTATTTTGGGGCGCGTGAAGCAAGATGGGGCTCCTCTTGCCATCTTACCTGATTTCCAGCTCTGTGTTTAAATATTTTCAGGGAGGGCTTATTTTCGGGGGGGGAGGCTTATTTTAGTGCATGCGCTCAAAAGCCTGATTGGGCTTATTATCAGGGGATTTCTTATTTTCAGGGAAATAAGGGTAGAGATAGCTAGCTAGCTAGCTAGGTAGCTAGATATGTAAATGGATGGATGGATGGATGGAATGATAGATAGATAGATAGATAGATAGATAGATAGATAGATAGATAGATAGATAGATAGATAGATAGATAGATATAGATATGTAAATGGATGGATGGATGGAATGATAGATAGATAGATAGATAGATAGATAGATAGATAGATAGATAGATAGATAGATAGATGATAGATATGTAAATGGATGGATGGATGGATGGAATGATAGATAGATAGATAGATAGATAGATAGATAGATAGATAGATAGATAGATATGTAAATGGATGGATGGATGGATGGAATGATAGATAGATAGATGATAGATAGATAGATAGATGATAGATATGTAAATGGATGGATGGATGGATGGATGGATGGATGGAATGATAGATAGATAGATAGATAGATAGATAGATAGATAGATAGATAGATAGATAGATAGATATGTAAATGGATGGATGGATGGATGGATGGATGGATGGAATGATAGATAGATAGATAGATAGATAGATAGATAGATAGATAGATAGATAGATAGATAGATAGATAGATAGATAGATAGATAGATATGTAAATGGATGGATGGATGGATGGAATGATAGATAGATAGATAGATAGATAGATAGATAGATAGATAGATAGATAGATAGATAGATAGATAATAGATTCAGCCCGTTTTCGCTGGCAGAGCACTCAGGCCACCACAGGCGCCCCCGACATGAGTGACGGCAAGCTGGCCATGCCCACCCTGGCCACTCCCACCTGGCCCTCAGAGGTCAAACGCAACCCTGATGTGGCCCTCAATGAAATCGAGTGTGACACCCCTGGTTAAAGGGATATGAGATGGGCCTGTCAGTCCAAAAAAGAAATGGGAAAAACTTAAAATACTGTAGTAGGTCATCAAACTGACGGGGACCATTGGTGAAGATTGTTTTAGAGTAATGCCTCTGTTTGATTTCTTTTCAGCTCAAGGAGGAGAAATATCCTTACTAGTCTCACAGCCAAACATCAATAGTTCGGTGGCCGAGAACGTTTTGCTGTCAGTGGCCTATACCGGCGAGACAAGCCCGGTGATTGAGTGGAAACACACATCGGCAAGCGGCACAACCAAAATCGCCGAATGGAAGTCTGGCTTTTATGCCAATATATCCAGCAGTTACAAAGACAGAGTAAACATTTATGACAATGGCTCTCTGCAGCTCCTGAAGGTGGATTTTAAAGACTCCGGTTATTATTTAGTCACGGTGAGAGACGAATTGGGAATCATCCTATATGGGACCATCCTGTTGAATGTTTATGGTATGGAATGACAGGACCTCATCTTTTCTCTAATATGTCTGATGCCCAATTTTAGCAGATGTGGGCCCGTTTAGCAGATGTGAGCCCAGAGTTATGAGCTTTATTTTTCTAATAGAACTTCAAGGTCCATCTCAACGTGGCAGCTAGTAAGCCCAAAAGCTAGATGGAAATGCAGGCTGTCCTCAACTGACGACCACAACTGAGCCCAAAATTTATGTGTTGCTAAGTGAAAAATGTGTTAAGTGAGTTTTGTCCCATTTTACGACTTTTCTTAAGTGAACCACTGCGGTGGTTAAATGAGTAACATGGTTGTTCAGTGAATCTGGCTTCCCCCTTGACATTGCTCGTCAGGTCACAAAAAAGGAACACACAATGGGATGCTGTGACGGTCATAAATATGAAACCACTTGCTCCACATGATCGTGGGGAATGCTGATGGTCATAAGTGTGAAAAATGGTCATAATTGCAATAGCACGTAGACTTATATGCCGCTTTACAGTGCTTTACAGCCCTCTCTAAGCGGTTTACAGAGTCAGCCTATTTGCCCCCAACAATCTGGGTCCTCATTTTACCCACCTTGGAAGGATGGAAGGCTGAGTCAACCTTGAACCTGGTGAGATTTGATCTGTCAAATGGCAGGCAGCCGGCAGGCAGCAAAAGTAGCCTGCAGTACTGCACTCTAACCACTGAGCCACTGTGGCTCATAAGTCACTTTTTTCAGAGCCATTGTAACTTCGAACAATCACAAAGCAAATTATTGTAAGTGGAGGACTATCTGTAGTGGCTTGATCTGATAACCAGTGTCAGTTTGTTATTTTCAATCTATTTACAGGCTTATAGATCCACTCCAATCAACTGATCTTGAGTGACACACATCTCCCCAAAGTTTCGGTGAACAGATAGATAATATTGATATTCCTCAACTTACAACTGTTTGTTTAGTGACTGTTCAGATTTACAACAGGTCTCCCCAGGGATGCGTACAATCTGGTTCCCAAGTTCTGACAACTAGCCTCTACCCCCGCAGTCATGTGATTGCAGGCCAAGCCCTCAGCAACCAGCGGCCTGCATTTATGGCTGTTTGCGGTATCCTGTGTTGACACGACCAAGTTTTACAAGTTTTGCTGAAAGTTGGCATTTACTTCTGGTTTTTAATAATGTCAAATCATAGCAAGTTCGCTTAGTGATGTCAGCGTTTGCTTAACCACAAAAATGGTTGTAAAATTGAGTTGGTTGTGTTGAATGACCTGATTTATGACCATCACCACTTAAAATCATGACAGGCAGGCTCCAATATGGTCATAAGTCAAGGGCTACTTGTAGTCAAAAATCAAAACCAAAAGCATGACGTATAGGAATCAGGTATTCCTGGGATCAGGTATTCCAAATAATAATAGCAACTGCTCATCCAGAAAGGGAGGGATAAAAACTCTGCTGCCGAAGCCTAGTGAGATAATTTTTTTTATTTTAGAACAAACTATGGAAATTTCCAGGAATAAGAAGCCACAGTCAATAATGACAGAGCTTAGAATAACTTTAAAGGTAAAGGTTCCCCTTGCACATATGTGCTAGTCGTTCCCAACTCTAGGGGGTGGTTTCCGTTTCAAAGCCGAAGAGTCCGCACTGTCCGAAGACGTCTCCGTGGTCATGTGGCCGGCATAACTAAATGCCAAAGGCGCACGGAACACTGTTACCATCCCACGAAAGGTGGTCCCTATTTTTCTACTTGCATTTTTTACGTGCTTCCGAACTGCTAGGTTGATAGAAGCTGGGACAAGTAATGGGAGCTCACTCTGTTACGCGGCACTAGGGATTCGAACCGCTGAACTGCCGACCTTTCGATCGACAAGCTCAGCGTCTTAGTCATTGTGCCACCACATCCTTTCTACTTTACTTTACTTTACTGTTACTTTAAATGTACAGCATACATTAACATGAAATTTCGTTGCATATAGCTCTCCAAGGGTCACCACCTTCAATATACACTACATAAACAAGACAAAATAAATTTTAAAAAAAGATTATACACATACCCATGTATATTGTAGCTATCAAGTAGGTACTTAATCATTTCAGAGAATTGTAGACAGAGGTTGAGTTGTGGAGACCTTGGTGCTCTCTGAGCCAAGTTGTTTTCTTGCAAACGTTTCATTACCCATCTAGGTAATATAAATGCTCGAAGGGAATGTGGTTTATTCTCTGTTTATATACTAGTGTTTTGCCCTGTCAGTGTTCTTGGTGGTTCCTTGATTAGGCTGTTGTTTACTGTTTGATTTTTTTGGGGGGGTTTCCTTTTTATAGTTTACTGCTTGTTTGTCTGATATTAATTCTGGCGTTAATCTCTGCTTATCTGGATGTTGATTGCTGGTGAGGTGTTTTATTTCCTTTTCAGCTTTTTGACTCGTTTCTTTTGGATGGTATGTAGATGTTGTTTATCTTTGTCTGCCTGTTGATGGCTGATTTGTCTGAGTGCCAGGCTTCAAGCAATTCTCTAATGTTTTTTTTTTATTTAGCTTTCTAGGATGCTTAGTTTCCCAGTTAAAACTATGGTTACAATGATGTGTTGTGCAGTTAAGGAGTTTTCAGGCTAGGTCTTATTTTTTGGGAAACAGAGTGTATGTGTATATACGTGTGTGTCAGTGGTGAAATGTAAAATTTACTACCACCGGTTCTGTCGGCGTGGCTCGGTGGTGGTGGGGGTAATGTGACTGGGTGGACATGGCCAACTTTTTTTTTTTTTTTTACTTTTAAAAGCATTTTTTCTACAACCTCTTCGGCCGAAGAGGTTGTAAAAAAATGCTTTTAAAAGGCTCTGACGATCCCAGCTGAGTTGCCTGATCATCAGAGGCTTTTGTTTTCTTTTAAAAGCATTTTTTCGGCAAAAGAAAAAATGCTTTTAAAAGTAAAAAAAAAAAAAACGCCTCTGATGATCGCGTGGCTCAGCTGGGCATGGGGCAGGGATTTTTGCTACCAGTTCTCCGAACCACCCACCACCATCGCTACCAGATTGGGTGATCCGGTCCAAACCGGGAGCATTTCACCCCTGGTGTGTGTGTGTAAGTGTGTGTCTGCAAGAGAGAGGAAAGGTAAAGAAAAAAGCAAAAAAAGGCTGACGGAAGTCTGGAATTGCTTTTCCCAGCAGCTAAAGTGAAGCCGATGCATTTGTGTGGTCAGACCTCACTGCATTATGTGTCTCCTTCCTTAGAAATTATCTATGAAGACCTTCATTTTGTGGTCGTCTTCTTTGCCTTCCTCGCCGCTGCATCCGCTGTTCTGATCTGCTTGATGTGGCTGTGCAATAAATACGTGCACTTTCTGCAAATGGAGAGGCAGCAACTCCGAGGTAATGCCTATTTAACACCGCAACTTAATGATCTGTGGGAAAGGAAAATCCCAAGTCTTATTTTTTTGCTGGATTTTGTTGTGCTTGTTTCCCTTTCACGTTTTTTTAAACTTTGGAGGATATCTTTTAAAATGTTTCTGTAGATGTTTGTGTGTGTGTGTGTGTGTGCGTGCAGCATGCATGCCTTCCTGTCAAGTGTTCAATCTGAACTGATTTGGAAAGACATGCGACCCAGAGTAGAGCCAGCCCTGTCAACTCTAGTTCACTCATTTTTACTTAGCGTACCAACTAAAAATTTACATGCTTTTCCACTATCCTCAAAGAGGTTAGTGTATAATCCGTCCAACTACTGTAGATTTTTATTTCTGACTGTTTCCTTGTCATCTGATCCAGTCTTTAATCAAACAGGATTCTTCTTTCATTTACAGTAAGCGAAACTGAAGAGACCGAGCTTCAAACAATGGGGTGTTAGTTGTGCAATGCTGTAGAATCAATGCAAATCCGTTTTCTACCTCAAGAAGCAAAGCATGAAAAAAAAAATGGTTGGTATACAAAAGACTGGGCATATCCACTTTGTCAAATGCTCTTTTCTGGAGCAGAAAAGGCAAAGTGATAACAGAAGGTTCGAGAAATGCGGCCTTTTCCATATCTTAATTTATAATGGACTCAATTAAAAAAAAAAAAAGACCTGCAGTTCCTACAGTTGTGCCCTCACATTTGTAAGACATCTAATTTTCTCTGAGAATATCAAAGTGTTACAATTAATTCAAGAGAACATGCCAAAAGCAGAGCTACAAAAGCTATAAAATAGGAGCCAGCAGTGTGCTGCAGCTGCCAAAAAAGCCAACACAATTCTAGGCTGCATAAACAGAGGGATAGAATCAAGATCATGTGAAGTGTTACTACTACTTTATAATGCCTTGGTAAGACCACACTTGGAATACTGAATCCAGTTTTGGTTGCCATGATGTAAAATAGTTGTTGAGACTCTAGAAAGAGTGCAGAGAAGAGCAACAAAGATGATTAGGGTACTGGAGGCTAAAACATATGAAGAACGGTTGCATGAACTGGGTATGTCTACTTTGATGAAAAGAAGGACTAGGGGTGACGTGATAGCGGTGTTCCAAAATCTCAGGGTTGCCACAAAGAAGAGGGAGTCAAGCTATTCTCCAAAGCACCTGAGGGCAGGACAAGAAGCAATGGGTGGAAACTAATCAAGGAGAGAAGCAATTTTAGAACTAAGGAGACATTTCCTGACAGAACAATTAAATCAGTGAAACAACTTGCCTCCGGAAGTTGTAAATGCTCCAACACTGGAAGTTTTTAAGAAGAGATTGGATAACCATTTGTCTGAAATGGTATAGGGTTTCCTGCCTAAGCAGGGGGTTGGACTAGAAGACCTCAAAGGTCCCTTCCAACTATTCTATATTCTATTCTATTCTATTCTATTCTATTCTATTCTATTCTATTCTATTCTATTCTATTCTATTCTATTCTATTCATTTCTATACTATACTATACTATACTATACTATACTATACTATACTATACTATACTATACTATACTATACTATACTATACTATACTATACTATACTAATTTCTATTGCCTTGAATCCATACAAGTGGTAGAAGCCCACACCTTTTTTTAAAACGACCCTGTGATCCCTTTGAATCAGGGTAGAGTCGGGGAGATTGAATGGAGCTCAAGTGTTTACTGTCCGGATGCCGTTCATGACATGTACGGAGTTAGCAGCAGACAATAACTCATTGCGCCCAGAGAGAGAGATATCTGCTACTACCTAGGATCCAACGCACAGCCTCCTGATTGTGAAGTGAGAGCTCCACATGTAGGCCACCCCACGCCACCCAGTAGAAGACCACACTGCTTTTAGAAAAACTGCAATTCTTTATTAAATTATATTTAAAAATACATTAGCATGGTTTACCCACTACCACCACTATCAAAGAGTCACTGATGGATTTAGTTTAAAAAATCCAACAATGATTATATGGAAATTTGTGGTATTGTTAACTTCCCAATATTTGATGAAGGCAATCATTCCATTTATTTTTGTATTTTCCCTCATTGTTTCCTGTCCCCCCTCCCATTTTCCCACAGAAGAATATGTGGCAGGCCTGAAGGCCCAAATGTAAAAGATGGCTTCCAGGTCTGACATCACCAAGTTGTCGCCAAACAGATATTATCTATTTTTATTTCACTAGCAGATATTAGTCCTGGGTCGGTTGAGCACGTTTGTAAACTTTTTACACTCATTTTTAAGTGTAAAAATGAAGAAGGGGGGGGAAAAAACCCTTACCCAAGCTTGCAAGTGATTTTTCAGTAATGCCACCATTTCTGCTCTTGAGCGAGCCAAACCAAGAATAGCTATGGCAAAATACTATTTTGACCCGAATAAAATTCTGGATTCTTCTTGTGAACGGTATTATTAGTCCATTTGTTCAAAAGATGTAACCAGGCAATTTAAATAGCACTTATAGGCAAAACATAAATGTAAACCTGATGTCCTTTGTACAAAGTTGCCAATGAAGTATTTAATAAAATTTGAACTTCGGTAATGTGACTAATTATTTCAAAAGCTGTCACAGTTGGACTGAATGTTCAGAACTTGTAGGGCAGACGGTGTAGAGCACAGGTGATAAAAGATGCAATCAAAAATCACTGAAGAAAAATCCATGGAGTTACCAGAAAGAGATGACTTCCAGGAATGTATGTGCTATTCTCACTCACTTTGCTTACACGCTGGTCTCAAAATCACCTCCTTGGATTGTTGTCCCTTATCCTAGGAGCAAGGAGTCAATGCGGCCATGAGGAGCTCCATTTTGTATACAAAGTTACGCCCTTCCATTTTGTTCCACTGGACTTCCTTGAAAGGGCCACGCAGGTAATTCCATTTGTTGTCTTGCAACACGTCACTTTTTGGGAGATCTTTGCACTGGCACCGTGGGAATTGGACCATGATTTTGCTGCCACTTTCTGGACCGTTCCGTACTGCGCGAGAAGGGGAAAGTACATCGTCATTTCTTTTAGCGATAATACTTAGACTTCTATACCACTTCATAGTGCTTTACAACACACTCTAAATCAGCCTATTGCCCCCAACAATCTGGGTCCTCATTTTTACCGACTTCAGAAAAATGGAAGACTGAGTTTCAACCTTGAGCCAGTCAGAATCGAACTGCTAGCAGTCGGCAGAGTCAGCCTGCAATACTGCATTCTAACCACTGCTCCATCATGACTGTTTTAGACTGTTCTTCAACCAAATCCTCTCTTAAAAGTTTTAATTTTAGAGAATTGTTTGCTTTACTATTTTTCGTCTTTACTGTTCTTTTACAAACTGTTCTGGATTCCTCTGGGAAGAACATTGGTATAGGAAATAATGCTACCCTGCACCGTAGTACAGGCAGTCCTCAACTTTCAACCAGTTGTTTAGCCACTGTTCAAAATTACAACAGCACTGAAGAAAGTAACTTATGACTGGTCTCCACACTTTCAACTATCACATGTTGAACTTATGTCATGTGATCAAAATTCAGGTGCTTGGCAACTGGCACGTATTTATGAAGGTTGCAGCATCCTGGGATCTTGTGAGCGCCATTTGTGATCTTCCCAGCCAGCTTCTAACAAGCAAAGTCAATGCGGGGGGGGGGGGGGGGGAGATGGATTCACTTAACGACGGTGTGATTCCCTTAACAATTGCAGTGATTCACTGCTTGCATGGTAACTAAAATAAATCTGTAAATAAAAATTAAGACTACTATACCTAAAAGCTTTTCTATAAGCCTTACAATTACGGAATGTACAGTAGTGCATTTACTATTTTAGGAAATAACATTCCATTATATTTAAGCGATGCACAGGAAGAAGTATAATTCTCCATGAGTTAAATTACTACTTGTGTTTCCCTGAAAATAAGACCCTGGCTTATATATTTTTTACCACCAAAAAAGGCACCAGGTCTTATTTTCGGAGGATGTCATCCACTGACTTGCCTCACTTACATGTGTTGCCCCTGGCCTCCTTTTTGCTGTCAGAGGCCTTCAAAAACTTTTTCTTTTGTGGCCGGCAAAGCAAGTGTCAGGGTGTGTGAGGCCTGGCTGCAACTGTCCAAAGGTAAGTAGTAGGGCAGCTCCACCCCCAACATCCCCACACTAGCGTAATTTTTATCCGTGCACCCTGGAGTGGGTGCGGTCTTAATTAGGGCTTATTTTGCGGGGGAAGGCTTTTATTGGGCGCACATGTAAAAATCAAGCTAGGACTTACTTTTGGGGTAGGTAATATTTTCAGGGAAAGACGGTAATACAATACCTGAAACAGCGTAGTCTCCATTAGGTGATGCTACTGTTATGGCAGATGCGTTGCCAATGCTTTCTACTGGGCCCAGCCCCACATGGTTACTGAAACTGAGCACATGCCAGCCCATAACCTTTGCCAGCTGTTGAACTGCAAGAATCTGATGTTGTGACATCTGGATTTTTTTTTTTAAAAAAAGAAAAAAAATTGTGTTTTAGCTGTTTTATTTTTTTTTAGCTTCTGCTACATTCTCTCAAAATACCAATCGCTTATTTTGTGAGCTATGCTAACATAAATAACTCTTGGTACTTTAGTTAACCTCTTTAACCCTTGGCATTTTAATTAATCTCTTTTACAATAATAATGGAATGAGGACTTTGCTGTCTTAGTAAGTCAGTTCTAAAAAGAATGGGAAAAAAATATTGTTTTTTACCTGAGAAAGAAGAAAATCTTGTAATTCTTGTTCTTGATGGGACAGTGTGATCACTCTTCCATCTCTGTGTACTACTCTGATCTGTTCAATGCCAATATTCAATTGCAGTTGAATAGACCTTTGAAAATCACAAGGTATTATTATAAGTGGAGTTGTACTACATGGTGCTAATGTCAAAACAAATTTCCTTGCTCTCTAATAAAAAGTGTTCATTTAAGCATCATTATCTTTAAATCAAAGTGAAATAAAATCAAACATAGTCAAATACTAACATAGTGGGATAAAAACTGTCCATGTGAGAAGCATTCACTTGCTAGATAGTATTGCAAATTGCTGTTGTGGCCGGCCAGCGGATCTGGCAGCAGATTCGGACAGTGAGGAGGTTGGGGAGGAACATGGACCAGTCCTGGAGTCTGGGAAAGGCTCTGATGAGGACTCTGTGTCAGAGGCAGAGATGGGGCCAGGGCCGTATGCCAGTTATCAGCTGCCTTCAGAGTCAGACATCAATGAGGCAGACAAACAGCTGGAGCCTGTTCCCAGTTGCCAGACGAAGGGAACAGCTAAAGAACAAGGGTCAACTTGGGAGTAAGGCCATAGGTGGACGATGAATGGATGAATTCCCCCAGAGAGAATAAAAGAAGAGCAAAAGGGGAGTGGAGTTTGCAGGAGACAATTAGTTCACTTAATTGGTTCATGACTCCTTGCCAAGTTTTGAAGATATCCGCCTGGCAGCTCCCCAAGCCAGATAAGGTCTGTGACTAAATTCTTCCTTGAAATTCACATCCCTTGCTGGCTGTGAATGAGAAGAATTCACAGTAACTTAATAAAAAGGGTTTTTTGTAGGGCAAGGAGTCTGCTTTGTGCTCTTGGGAAGCCTAGGTCAGAACAATCGCCTTCATATCCATAATGAAAGCAATTTGCAATACTATCTAGCAACTGAATGTTCTCACGTGGAAATTTTTATCCCATTGTATTAGTTTCAATGCAGAATATTCAGAACCATACAGCTACGGTATTTAAAAGCAGAGTGAAATAAAGAATAATAAAAACACAAGGCAAACTGGCATTCCAGAATGGGTCTCCCCCCATTTGTGTTGCAAGTGAAAAAAAAAGGCACGGCATAGACGTGGTCCCTCTTTTCATGCTTACTTGCATATCTGTTCGTAACCTTGGGAGGTGATGAGAACCTTGACACTCGACTCATACACATCATTGATGTTGGACCAATGGGCTTGAATCTGGGGATCCTCGATACGGCTGGCAAGACTGTCGATCGTCCGAGCGGTCCTAAAATGAAATAAAATCCCATCATAAAGTTTTAGTTTAGAACAAGGCAAAGCTGGCTGGGGAATTCTGGGAGTTTAAAGTCCAACACGTGACTAACCCACCGTAGCTATTTTATACAACAAATGTGGCAAAACTTTTGCATTGCCATTTCTTTGCATTTTAGTATTTAATTGACTAAGGGTCTCACAGTTATGGATTGTTATTATAGTATAGTTAGGCCATGTGTAAACTGACAGACTGGATTTTAATATAGATTTTATCTGTTTATTTTATTCTAGAATTTTTAACTGAATATTCACGGAGTGTTTTTATTTGTTCTGGTCTTTGACTGTAATAAATTTAATTTGATTTGAGTCCACACCTCTTCACGTTGCCAAAGTTCAGAAACTCTGGCTCAGATATATCCTGCAAAGCAACCAAAACCTGCCATTGTTTTATACAAAGTGTATTTGCTTCCTAACAGATATTCCCAAATCAATCATGGTTCCTTTTGATGCTGAATACTTCATGGCATTCCCTAGCTTTGTCATGTATGGGTAGTCCTCGACCTACAACTGTTCATTTAGTGACTGTTGGAAGAAAAATCCATCTGGTTCAGTTCCAAGCTGGGAGAAAGGCGCTGGAGATAACATGGAGGCTGTCTGGAAAAAAAAATTCTGTTTATTGATGAGCAGAACCAGCCTGTGATTCTGAGGCAGTTGACCAAATGGTTGAATGAGTGGATGGATCTTTATAGATTTCTGTGACTTTGAAGTTTGAACTGTTTTGAGGATGGTGCAATGAAGGGGTTTTTTGTGTCTTTTGCTAAATGGTGGTGGGTTAATCCTATTATCCCCTAAAAAGTCATGTGGTATTTTTTTTTAATCCCATCACCCTGGAGCTGAAGATGTTTTTGTTTTGACAACCAGCCCCTCCCAAACCCCTCCTATTTATTTCCCAGCCAGGGATGGGCTGGCTAGCACCCATGTCTGCTTTTCCCTGAGAGCCGCCTTATTGTTTTCCTTTGCTCTCCTCTCCTTTCCTCTCTACGCATACACGCATCTGGAATGGGCCCCATCTGTTCCTCCCCCTCACTCAACTCAGGCCCCGAAGATAGCTACCTCTCCACCTGGGGGAGGACGGAAGGCCCCCACTCTGCCTCTGGTCTCTGATGCTGTTTCCTTATCTGCAGAACTGCAGAAAAAACAATGGCTATCAACCTGCCTTCCACTGAGGACCTGTATACTGCACGAGTCAAAAAGAGGGCTGTGAAAATATTTACAGACCCCTCACATCCTGGACATAAACTGTTTCAACTCCTACCCTCAAAACAACACTATAGAGCACTGCACACCAGAACAACTAGACACAAGAACAGTTTTTCCCCGAACGCCATCACTCTGCTAAACAAATAATTCCCTCAACACTGTCAAACTATTTACTAAGTCTGCACTACAATTAATCTTCTCATCGTTCCCACCACCCATCTTCTTCCACTTATGACTGAATGACTGTAACTTTGTGGCTTGTATCCTTACGATTTATATTTATTTTGTTTCCTGATTG